GTACACTATTCAAAATTTAGTTCAATTTTTTGATATTTATTTGTTCTTCCCCAGTTGCAAATATATTAAATTTGAATTATACGATTATTCTAGTTTTTTAATATTAAGAAAAACATAACACTTTCATTGTGTTTTTCGGTAAAAATGAGCAATTTTCAAGACTCTGCTTTTAGTGATCATTCTCAACAAGTTCAGAAAATTATAAAAAAACAAGTAAACAAATTGAATTGTTTGAAAATTAACCTTCAAATTTAATGCTCTATTTATCTCCCTTTCTGAAAAGAAAACTTATTTTACTTTGAGTGATAAATTGATGGAGGTACGGTTGCTTCATTTTGGGTATGAGTTCTTACTTTCAGCACATAATGCAGTGGGATAGAGTGCATTGTCTAGATCAATAATAAAAAATTTTTAATAATTTTTCAACATTATTTATGTATAATTTAAAAAATGCTTAGAATTTTTTACTCAGCCATAGAAATTTACTTTGAATGAATTATTTAAAAACAGCCAAATATATGTTTCAGCATTATCTTTTTTTTCACTCTCTCTGGTATAACTGTATTTTTCTTTATAAAAAAAATTATTTTAAACAAATTTTAATACGATTTACAATTAAAAACAAATATGTCTCTTACATTTATTATTTGAATGATTAATAATTTTATAAAATTGTAAAAGAATAAAATTTATATTAAAAATAATGATGACGACGGACAAGTAATGTTTCAACCAATATGAATTTACGTTTAGGATTGTTATTACATTTTCTAACATCATTTATGATGTATAATTTACTTACATCATAAGAATTTAAGAAGTAAATAATTACTTAAAAATTTGTTAAAAATCCTAAATTGAAGATTTTAATAATTTTAATAATTTTTTATTTGGTCTTTGCTCGAAATATTAGGTAGTGCTTGATTCGAAGAATAAGTTTCAAAAGACTTTTTTACATTACATAAATAATAATTATTCCAATTTGAAGTCTCGATTTTTTATATCTACTTGTCTCATTTTCTTCTTTTTTGCTCTCTTCAATTAACAGGTTAGGAAGTGTAGAGAAACCAATCAAAAATAGGAAACGATATTGTCGTCAATATTTTAAATTGCGAATTACAATATTAGGGCTTATTTGAGGATTATACTACATAGATCAGAACTTCTGAAACTGTAACAAAAATAATTTTTTTTGTAATTTAAAAGTGGATAAAGTTATATTGTTTTTATGTTTAGAAAAAATTGTAATGAGGGTTTTTAAGGAACTCGATGGTAGCACTTTAAGTGTTTTTATATAGAAAGTCATGTAAAATTGACGCTACTTTTTTTGAAAAATAACAATTTTTAGATGTGTTTTGGGTACTTTATAGAGTTCTATAACGATTATTTAAATATAGTTATTATTATTTTTCAAAAGTGAGTTTTCACCTAATATTCTAAAAGAGAATGAAGAGTTGTCTACCATAACTAGAGTTCTGCAAAATTTCGATAAGAAAAGTTATGAAAATAACATTTTATGAGTTCTAAATAGACTTCTGGTACAGTCACAGAAGTGTTCTACAAGTAATCCTCCTAATGACAATAATAAATAATACAAACAGTAGAAAAAGTTTCATAAAATGTAATATGAAATAGGGTTCTAGACACCTTGTGCAGACGGCACTGGCCACAATCATGGTATAGGAAAAAGAAATTTCAGTACAAGAATATATTTTTTGCAAACATGAACTGAAGAAAGAATTCCAACGTAAAACTATTTGGTGGCCCTGAAAAGGGCCGATTGTTTTTTGTTGATGACGATGATGGGAAAATTAACCGCCGAAACCATAAAGGGTGCGACCTTGACGCTTGAGGGCATATACGACGTCCATGGCGGTGACCGTCTTCCTCTTGGCGTGTTCGGTGTAAGTGACGGCGTCACGGATCACGTTCTCAAGGAACACTTTCAAGACACCACGGGTCTCTTCGTAAATCAATCCTGAGATACGTTTCACTCCACCACGACGAGCCAAACGACGGATGGCGGGCTTGGTGATGCCTTGGATGTTATCACGCAACACTTTGCGATGGCGCTTTGCTCCTCCTTTTCCCAAACCCTTTCCTCCCTTTCCACGACCAGTCATTTTTGCAGAGAATAAAGTTTACGTTCAAAACAGAACAGAGAACAAACTCGGAATGATGCTAAGCCGGCGAAAGTGCGCTGTTTTATTCCCTCTGGAGTTACACTGCTCCCCTCCACAATCTGACCGACCAATCAGAATGTCAGTGTCCCCTTCCTCTTGACTAACTGGTGCAAGAGCTTCTGAAAGCTATAAATATGTGCGTTCGTATCGCCGAAACCATTTTTCAGTCGTCCTTCGTACTTTGAAGTCGTAAGCAATGGCTCGTACCAAGCAAACCGCGCGCAAATCCACCGGTGGTAAAGCACCAAGGAAACAACTCGCCACCAAGGCCGCTCGTAAGAGTGCGCCTGCAACCGGTGGAGTGAAGAAGCCCCATCGCTACAGGCCCGGAACCGTCGCTCTCCGTGAGATCCGTCGCTACCAGAAGAGCACCGAGCTCCTCATCCGCAAACTGCCCTTCCAACGGTTGGTCCGTGAAATCGCTCAGGACTTCAAGACCGACCTGCGCTTCCAGAGCTCCGCCGTGATGGCCCTCCAGGAGGCCAGCGAGGCCTACCTCGTCGGTCTCTTCGAAGACACCAACTTGTGCGCCATCCACGCCAAGAGAGTCACCATCATGCCAAAAGACATCCAATTGGCCCGTCGTATCCGAGGAGAACGTGCTTAAATTTCTCTACCACTCTCAAAACTCAATCGGCCCTTTTCAGGGCCAACACATTTTATTACGTTGAAATATTTTTAATTCCTATACATACATCTATACCTTACTATTGTGTAAACAACGCTAATTTCCTATTAATTATAGAAACCTATTTTTATTTATTTTTTTACTGCATATGGTTATTTTTCAATAATACATTCAACATTCAATGCAATTATAAATATAGAAAAAACCTACAAGTGAATACAACTAATGGTTATTCATTATTTGATTGTTAGAAATATTACTATCCAGGGTTGCCACAAATATTTAATTTTATTTTTCCCTAATTTCCAGATAAGACGAAATTCTCACTCTTTCCCTGACCCTAAAAAATATTCTAATTCACTCTAAAAATTATTAGATATTCAAAAGAACATTCTATTACATTTACTTACGAATTTCTTGAATTGTAAAATTATTCGCAAACATCAATAATTTCTTTTTTAAATAAATATTTAATGATTATTATTTTTCCGTATGAATTAAAATTCTTCAATACATTCAAGTTTAAACCATGAATTATTGGAATTCAATAATTTATAAGAATATTATTACAAAACATAAAGATCGCCTTCTTCATGTTTTGTTATAATTTCAATTACCATGAAATTTTTCAAAAACAATTTTATTATTTACAAAAATCCTAATGAAATCCTTCGCAAAAATTGAATTATTTTTAAAAAGTAGTAAATTTTCTGAAAAAAATTCAATTATTTGAAAACATTGTAATAATTCAATTATTTAAATTGAAAAATAAATAATTTATTGAATAATTGAATGTTTGTTAAAATTGAATTCTCATATAGTACATTGTACAACTAGTACTCTTTCACCACGAGTTGTGCACTACGTTTTCTCCAACGCCTTGCGAGGAAAGGTTTCTTCGTGAGTTTCGTATAATTTTAATTTAACGTGTGCTTATGTTTAATATAATAAAAGACGAATGTTTTCACACTTTTCTACCAAGAAAAGTACTCCTTTCAGAGCAAGTGTTGGAGAAAAGAATTTCATCAACAAATTTTTAAATAATTCAATTATTTTGACAAATTTTAATGAAATTTTTAAAAATAATTATTTTTGTGGAGGAATTTGATTAAAATATTGTATCAAAAATTAATTAAAATCCTGCGATGAGTTTTATTATTTATGAACATAATTAAAAATTTTCCCAAAAATGTTATTAAAATTTTTCTAAAATATAATTGAATTTCGGTGAAGAATTTTATTATAAAAATAATTGAATTCTTGAAAAGAACTTTGTTAAATTTTTTTAAATAATTGAATTCATGCGACGAATTTTATAAAAATCTTTTTAAATAATTGATTTTATGAAATTTTGTATATTAGATAATTAAACTCCTGTGAAAATTTTATTATTTATGAAAATAATTGATTTATTTAGAAGAAATTTATTAAAAATCTTGTAAATTATTGAATTCCTGTGAAATTTTGCCAAGAATTTTATTAAAGTTTTTAAAAATAATTGAATTTCGAAGAACAATTGTATTATTTATAAAGATAATTGAAATTTTGACGAGAATTTTTAAAAATTTTTTGAACATAATTGAATTTTGGAGAAGAATTTTATTATTTTAAAAGATATAATTGAAATGACCAGAATTTCTTTTAATTTTTGAATATATATATTCCCATATTTTCCCATAAATTCAATTATAATTGAATTTATGGGAAAAATTTTATTACTTTTGAAAATAATTGAATTTCTGGAATTATTTGTAACTTTTTCAAAATTCAATTTTTTTTTATTATTTTTTAACTAAAATTCTTTTAAATCAATCTGGTATTTATGAAAATTGTAAAAATGATTCATTAAATAATTTATAAGTTATAATTGTATGATAGTTCTTGTAAAATTAAGTTATTTAAAAAGAAATTTTTGTCTGAAATAGGAAAAATCAAAGGTTTCGTTTTAAAATTCGTGGTAATTTCATAGTTTACGAGGCAAACAAAAAAACATCAAAATTCAGAGTTTTTTCATGAATTTTTAAAATTCAATTTTTTACAATACTTTTAATAAAAATCCCTAACGTTTCCTTGATTTTCCTGACCTGTGGTAACTTAGATTTTAATTTCAGAAAATGAAATTTAAATTTCTTAAATTTCAAAAAGTGTTTTAAAATAGGGAAAAATAGAGAAAAAAATTACAAAAACTATTAAAATTTTTTCCCTTTTTATTTATTATTATACATCCTTTGTTAAATTAAAAATTTTTCGCGAGGATTCCGTCTGTTTTGCTTAGTCTGCCAATACAATCATCGGATTCACCCTGAAAATGAAAAATTTTTTAATTAATATTTTTCTCGTTGAAAAAAAGTAAATTAATTAACTTTAAATAAAAACTAAAATTATTAATTTTAAATTTTGAGAAAACTAATGTTTTTGTAATTTAGACAAAAAAAAAGGATTTTTCAACGTAATTTTTCGTTTTAAAGAATAAAACAGAATTAGTTGAATTAAAAAATTTCTGAGTTTTAATAAAAACTATTTTTTGATTTCCATTTGTGAAATAAAATGTAAAAAAGTTTTATAAAACTCCTTTTTAAAAAAAAAAACTTAATTTTACATATAAAAAAATTATTTCTATCTTGAATTCCTAAAAAAGGGAATTTATACAAATTTTTTTGTATAATATTTCAGTTAAGTAAATTTTAATATAAACAAAAGTTCCACTTACCATTCTTCTAATTTGTCCGCAAATGGCATACATTTTAAAAGTATCGCTCATGCGACCGGTTTCGGGATCAACATCGGCCAAAGTGATTTGAATTGAAGCATGATCCTTGGCGTGAATAATGCTGTTGCTCGCTGAGCTACAAAAAAAAGAAAACATTTTACATCTTCGAAAGCTTTTCAAAAAAAACTAAATTTTAGCTTTACTTCTAAATTCAATTACTCGTGACTTCAATAAATTTAATTTTTAACAGGAATAAAAATGTTTAAAGTTTGAATTTCAAACCTTCTAAAATTATAGAAAGCTACATTTCAATAATTATTCAACTACATTTCAAAAATTTGATAATTTTCTAAAATTTTAAAAAAATATTACAATATTTCACTGTAAAATTTTAAAATAATCTGAAATTTACTAACATTTTTTTTTAAAATAATTGAACTTTAGAAAATTATAGGAAAAATTCTAAAAATTAATGTTCTAAAAGTAATGTGATGTAATTTTTCAAAAATAATTGAATTCGTTAAAAGAATTTTTGTAAAAAAAACATTTTTTTTTGTTAAAGAAGAATTCCTTTTTTGTAATTTTTGTAAAAGTCCAAAAAAATTTTCAACTATTTAAAGAATTTTTATTAAAAAATGTGGAAAAATATGGTTTTTAAAACTTATAATAAAAAAATTCTTTACATTTTTTTTTTTTGAAATTTTTTGAAATTTATACTAACATTTCTTTAAAAATAATTAAATTTCAAAAAATTATGAATGAAAAATTCGAAAATTTGTTTTTCTAAAAATATTGTGATGTAATTTATCGAAAATAATTGAATTCCTATGAAGAATTTTTGTAAAATTTTAAAAAACTTGCAATTTTGAATTTGAGTTAAAAATTGAGAAAAAAATTGATTTTTAAAAAATTATAGTAAAAAAATTCTTAAAATTATTTTTTTTAAAATCTTTTAAATTTACTAACATTTTTTTAAAATAATTTAATTTTAAGAAATTATGATGAATAATTCAAAAATTAATTCTCTAAAAATATTGTGATGTAATTTTTTGAAAATAATTGAATTCGTTAAAACAATTTTATATTTTTGTAGATTTTACAGTAAACTGAAAAAATTTGAAGTAATTGAGATTTATTAACATTTTTTTGAAAACAATTGAATTTTAAAAAATTTACAAATTATAATAAAAAATTCGAAAAATGGATTTTCTAAAAATATTGTAAAGTAATTTATCGAAAATAAATTAATTCTTTAGAAGAATTTTTGTAAAATTCTAAAAGACTTACAATTTTTTAAAGAAATTTAATAAAAAATTGTTAAAATGAACAATTTTTCTAGAATTTTGAAAAAAATTTTAATTATATATTTCGAAAATTAAATTATCTGAAAAAAAAATTCATTCAATAATAATTTTTGAAAAATTTTATTGTAAAAATAAAAGTTAGTTGCATTTTATACCAAAAAAGTGGTATTTTTCTGTTCTACTCGGAAAAGAAGGGGAAAAAGTCGAATTTTTTAAAAATAAGTCGAAAAAATTCGTCTTTATTGAAAATCGTGGAAAAAAGTTCACTCGGGACTCGAAAAAAATTAAAATTTCCTATTTTCACTATTTTTCTAAACGTAACAACTAATTGTTAATTAATTAAAAAAAATTTCCGTACAATTACTTCTCGACTGTAAAATAACAAATCTGGCAAATGTGACGAAACATAACCTCAAAATCTACAAAAGTATAAATCACTGATCGATAATAATTGTTTTGTCTTTTATTATTTTATAAACAATTTCTATTCGAAGAAAAGACAAATTCATTTCTATTCAAGTATTTTATGAGTATTAATAGAATAAATATGGTAATAAACAATATTTTAATTACGAACAACACAAAAACCACGTGTTACTTACCATTTTCGTGGGCAGTACAAGTCAACAAGTTCACCAGCGTCGTTTTCCATTGTTTAGAGAATAATAAAATTTTCCAAAATTATCGAAAAACTTTTAAATAAATGGTTTGAATACGTTTTGTCGTATTTTTCAACGAGAAAATATTTGACAACGATGTTGCTTACGGAACTCACAAAAGGAGAAAAGAAAGATGGCGAATATTGTTGCTGTGCCGTCAGATTGGTACGCATGCGCAAAATGCACAGAAATCTAGTGACAATTCAAATCTTCCGCATTCCGCTAATAATTTACTCCTTTTACCACTCAAGTTACAATTTTAGAAAAATATTTTTGTTTTCAAAAACATTTTATCATATAATTTTGTCATTTAGGTATTTTTTCCACAGAAAATTATTTTATAATTTCTTTTGCAAGAAAAAGTTGGACAAACAGAGATAAGCCAATCAGAGAGAAGGTTGAAATGTCGAACATTCCATTCGCCCAATCAAAATTATCGCTTAGAAAATAGTTTTATAAAAAAACGAGCAAAAAATTAAAAATAAAAGAGATAATTATATTTGATAAGATATATAATTTTTTCTATTGATAGTAATTTAGTAATATTGGTAATTTCTGTCAAAAAATAAAAGAAATATTAAATTTCTCTATATAGAGATTTTCTCTAGGAATTTCCAAACTTTAAATTGTGAAAAACCCTAGATCTCTCGATTCTCTAGAAAAACTACTAAATTGGATAATACCAAAATCATTGACTCATTTACACAATTGTTTTTTAATACTTTTTTGAGAGCTCATCATTCAAGAAGGTGAAAAAGCTACTGAAAACTGTAAAAATATGGCATCGAAATTAGGGCGAATTGTCGCTCGACAATATTCATCTTTTCCTTTATCACATGGAAATAAAGAAAGTATTCGTAAGTAAATAATTTTATGATACTTATTTTCTTTTAATTTCACTCATCCTATAATTTTACTCTCACTAAAAGTGAGGTTATTCTTTTAATACATCAAGTACATTATTATCGGTATCATTCTTTTCTTTCGCTACTTTATCTCGTACGTGATTATTTATATTTTTTCGTCCTGTCTAAATTCATGAAAAGTTATTTTCTACATGCAATAAAGAAATATTTTTTCCTCTTGCTATCGAGAGAAGGAATAATTACATAACAATATAAATGTTGAATTTGAACCATTTAAACATTTTTTTTTTTTTGACAATGTAGTCTTCAAATTTTGTTAATTTGTAGAAAATTTGAATAAAATTTATCAATAAGGAAAAAAATGAATTTATTTATTTATAACAACTGTGATTTGGGAAAAAATGTTCTTTTTTGGATAAGAACACTGGAATGTATAAAACTAAAACGAATATATAAATAACAAATAATGAAATCAATAAAAATAATGCAAGAATACGAAAAAGTTAGCAACTGACGGACAGTCAAAACAAAAAATTAGTCCATTATCATAATTTCGTATATTTTATAACAGAAAGACAAATTAAATTTTAAATTCATTTTGGTGGAAGCAGAAAGAATTTAATTGATTTTATTTTCCAAATGTTAAACAATTAAATGTTGCATTTGAATAAAAATGGCAATTTTTCGTTAGTAAGAAATATTTATTAGTTTTATTTTATCTAAATCGTTTCTCATTGACAAAATTGTATGTTTTATTTAAATGCAACTTAAAATTGTTATAAATGTAGAAAATTAAATTCTTGCTTCTACGAAAATTAATTTATATTTTATTTCTTTTTCTTTATTTTTCTTTATTTAAAATTCGAAATAATCGAATTTATTGCGGATTAACTTTTCAGGGTTATTACAGGTCAGGGAAAAGTCAGGGAAAGTAAAATTGGTCAGGGAAATCAGGGAAAAGTCAGGGATTTTTAGTAAAAGTACTGGAAAAATAAATTGAATTTTTGAAGAGTTACAAATCATTCCAGAAATTCAAATTATTTTCAAAAATTATAAAAATTCTTCACAGAATTTCAATTATGTTCAAAAATTGAAAAAAAATTCTCGTCAAAATTCAATTATCTTTATAAATAATAAAATTCTTCATCGAAATTCAATTATTTTTAAAAATTTTAATAAAATTCTTGTCAAAATTTCACAGCAATTCAATTTTATTTACAAAATTTTTAATAAATTTCTTGGAAAAAATTCAATTATTTTCATAAGCAATAAAATTTTCACAGGAATTCAATTATTTAAAATACAAAATTTCATTAAATTTTTCGAAAAATTATTTAAAAAGATTTTTATAAAATTCGTCGCAAGAATTCAATTAAAAAAAAAAAAAATTGAACCAAGTTCTTTTCAGGAATTCAATTATTTTTAGAAATAATAAAATTCTTCACCGAAATTCAATAATTTTTATAAACTTGAATAAAATTCTAGAAAGAATAAAATTATTTTCAAAATTAGTAAAATTCTTCGCAAAAATTAAATTACGTTTAAAAATTAAAAAAAAAGTCAAAATTTCAAAAATCTTTATAAATAATAAAATTCTTCATCAAAATTCAATTATTTTTATAACTTTTAATAAAATTCTTGGCAAAATTTCACAGGTATTCAATTATTTACAAAATTTTTAATAAATTTCTTCGAAATAATTCAATTATTTTCATAAATGATAAAGTTTTCAATAGGAATTCAATTATTAAAAATAAAAAATTTCATAAAATTTTTAAAAAAGATTATAAAATTCGTCGCAAGAATTGAATTATTTAAAAAAATTTAACACAAAATTCTTTTCAAGAATTCAATTATTTTTATAAATAATAAAATTCTTCTCAGGAATTCAATTTTCAATTATTTTTAAAACTTTTAATGAAATTCTTAGCAACATATTTAATTATTATTAACAAAAATAATAGAATTTTTCACAGGAATTCAATTATTTTCAGAAATATTTTAATAAATTGTTCGAAAGAAATCAAATTTTATCAAATACAATTTTAATTAAACTTTTTGGAAATAATTAAATAATTTTTATTAGATTTTATGAAAATTCTTCTCAAGAATTCAATTATTTACATAAGTAACAAAATTATTAACGAAAATTTAATTATTTTAAAGCATTTTAATAAAATTCTTTGCAAAATCCAATTATTTTTGTAAATAACAATATTCATCACAAGAAATCAATTATTTTTAAAAGTAATAAATTTCTTCATGGAAATTCAATTATTTTAAAAAAATTCTCTTAAAATCGTTCGCGAGAATTCAATTATTTTCATAAATAATAATAAAACTCATCGAAGAATTTCAATTATTTTCAATACTATTTTAAATTAATTAATCGAAAAATTCAATAATTTTAAAAACTAAAGTTTTTTACAAGAATTCAATTATTTAAAATAAAATTTTCATAATATTTATTATATTTCAAAAAAATAAATTATTTAAAACCATATATTTATAAAATTATTTGCAAAATTCAATTATTTTCATAAACAACAAAATTTTTCACAGAAATTCAATTATTTTCAAAAGTAATAATAAAATTCATTCCAATAATTCAATTACTTTCCTAAATAATAAAATTCTTTTCCGAAATCCAATTATTTTAGAAAAATTTTAATAAAATTGTTGGAATAATTTTAATTAATTTCATGAATAATAAAACTCATCGCAGGATTTTAATTATTTTTTGATACAATATTTTAATCGAATTTCTCACAAAATGTAATTATTCTTAAAAATTTTATTAAAATTTGTTTTGACAAATTTTAATAATCATTCAATTATTTAATAAATTATTTATTTTTTAATTTTAATAATTGAATTCTTCTAGAATTTTCTAATAAAAATTGATTTAAAAATGAATTACCGAATAATCGATTTATTATTTATGAAAATAATTGAATTATTGCAACGAATTTTATTACATTTTCTTTAAATGATTGAATTTTTTTGAGAAATTTTACTACTTTTAAAAATAGTTAAATTCTTGCGAAGGATTGTATTAGCATTTTTTGTAAATAATTAACTATTTTTTGAAAAGTTTTATGGCAATTGAAATTATTATAAAACATGAAGAAGGTACTTCTTCATGTTTTGTAATAATTTTCTTATAAGTTGTTGAATTTCATAAAGGTTTGAATTTGAATGTTTCGAAAAATTTGGATTCCTACAGAAGAATAATAATGATTAAATATTTATTTAAAAAAGAAGTTATTGATTTCTTTTTTGAATAATTTGACAATTAAAGAAATTTGTAAATAAATGTAATGGAACATTTTTTTGAGTAATAATTTTTAGAGTGAATCAGAATATTCTTTAGGGCCAGGGAAAAAGTGGAAATTTTTTCTGGAAATCAGGGAAAAATAAAATTAAATATTTGTGGCAACCCTGCTTTTGCTCTGACTGTCGGATGCTTCCTTAAATACTAACAAAAAAGTTCTAGGAAATAATTTCGAATTTTAGTTTTTTATTAATTAACTATTATTGTTACTATTATTATTGTAAATTTTCAATTAGAATTCTTCAAAAATACGATTATATTTCAAAATAATTTTTAAAAGTAAACACATGAAATTCATTAAAATATAAATAATTTCTTTTAATGAAATTTGACAGAATTTTCAATTATTTCAATTTTTTAAAAAAATTATTTCCGGAAATACAATTATTTTCGTAAAAATTTTAATTACATTTTTTCTAATTTGTATTTTCTTTCTTCAATTCTATCTAATTTCTCTCCGAGATTTATAAATAAACAATTAAGTTATGAAACATTTTTTTATCAGGTAAAACGAAGAATATGTGGAAAATGGCTTCTTTGTTTATTGCATTGCCAGCGACTGTTATTACTGGCGTAATTAATTATTACCATCACATTCAACACGAAACTCATAGGCCTGAGTTCATTCCCTATCAGCATTTGAGGATTCGCACCAAGGTATTTTCATTTTTCATAATAATAATAATACAAGGTTGCCACAAAAAATTAATTTCCTGATTTCCAGACAAAATTTTTACCTTTTCAATAACTTCTTTTTTCAAGAAATATTTAATCATTATTATTTTTCCAAAGGAATTAAAATTTTCAAAACATTCAAATTCAAACCTTTTTGAAATTCAATAAATTATAATAATATTGTTACTGTACCTCTTAAAAAATTATTTTCATCATTTCAATTCAATTATTATTTTCTAGAATTTTTAACTCAAACTCTTCTTTAAATCAATTATTTTTAATAATTTTTGAAAAAGTTCTTCTTTCTGAATTTTTTAATCTATTTGTTTACAATTCAATTTTACGTGAAATTTCGATTGTTCGGAAATTTTTCAATTTTAAATATACATTAGAAAATAAAAACTTGAAATAATTTCAAAAAATTTCGATTAATCTTTTTGAAAAAAATTAGTTCCATAGAATTTTTAATTAAAAGTATGAAAAATTCAGATTTTCATAGATTTTAATTTGAAACCTTTTCAAAATTCAATTATTATCTAAAACTTTAACTGAAATTAATTTTGAAATCAATTTTTATTAGAAAATTCAATTCTTTAAATACAAACATAGATAATTTATTGAATAATTGAATGTTTCATAAAATTGAATTCTCATAAAGAATTTTATCAACAAATTTTTTTATTTATTTATTTAAGTATTATACTATTTATTTTATTAGGTATATTTATAATTTTATTAAAAGTTTCGAAAATATTTGAATTCCTGCGAAGAATTTGATTTTTGAAAATAATTATTGAATTATATTTAAATAATTTGAGAAATTATTAATGTTTTGAGTATAATTTCAGTTAATTGAATTATTGCGAACAATTTTATAAAAAAGTTTCAAACAATTGATTTTTTCGAAACAATTTATGCAAATTCTATTTGTAATAATTGAATTCCTGTGAAATTTTCATTATTTTAGAAAATAATTGAATATTATTGTAGAACTTTGTCAAAATTGTTTTTAAATAATTGAATTCTTTAGGGAAATGTTATGAAAATAATAGATATGCAAATAATTGAATGAAGAAAATATTTTGAAAATAATTGAAATTTTGCAATGAATTTTATTAAAATTTCTGAAATAATTGAATTTTATTACTTTCGAAAATAATTGAATTCTTGTGATGAATATTTTTATGTTTAAAAGAAAATAATTGACTTCCTCCGAATGATTTTATTAATTAATGCCAAATTTTAAAATATTTTATTTGTTTGGAAAATAATTGAATGTTTGTGTAGATTATTATCAAAATTTTTGTTCAATAATAAATTGAATTCTTTTGGAAAATTTTATTAAAATAATAGATATTGAGAATCATTGAAATAATATAAGGAAATTTTTTAAAAATAATTGAACTTTAAAGAAGAATTTAGTTATTTATAAAAAAAATTGGGACTTTGATGACAATTTTTTTCAAATTTTCAAAATAAGTAAATATTGTGAGAAGAATTTTATTACTTTTGAAAATAATTGAATTTCTGCAATAATTTGTAATTTCTTCGAAACTCAATTTTTTAAATGTTTATTGTTTTTGAAAATAATTGAATTCTTGTGATGAATATTGTGATTTATGAAAATAATTGAATTTTGCAAAGAATTTTATTAAAATTCCTGTTAAAATAAATGAATTTTTGAGAAGAATTTCGTTATTTATCAAGATAATTGAATTCTTTTGAAGAATTGCTTTAAAATTTTTAAAATAATGTCAATTATATATTAAAAAATTCAACTAATTTCAGCAGAATTGAAATTAAAATTGAAAAAAAATAGTTCTAAACAGAATTGTTTATTAAAAATATTAAAAATTCAGATTTCCAATTATCTTAATTTGAAACCTTTTTAAAATTTAATTATTTGTAAAAATTTGCTATTATTTATAACTACTCAAAAATTAAATTTTTTTTATAGTTTGTAACTAAAATTCTTCTATAAATTAATTATTTTTCTCAATTAACTAAATATTTATTAAAAAATTTAACTCATTTGAGAAGAATTTGAATTTTTTAAATTTTTCAAAAATCTAAGTTCTTTAAAATTTGCAATTAAATTCATTGAAAATTGAAATTATATAAAATTTCAAATTTAAACCTTTTGAAATTGATCTATTTATGAAAATTGTAAACGCAACTCTTTTAAAATTTAATTAATGTTTAAATATTTAAGTACATTTATTCATTAAATAATTTTATGATAGTTTTTCAAGAAATTTAAAAAGAAATTATTGTCAGAAATGGAAAAATTAGAAGGTTTTGTATTAGAATTCGTGAAAATTTCATATTTTATGAGGCAAACAAAAAAGAGAAAAATCCAGAATTTTCTTAATCTAAAAATAAATTTAATTTTTTTCCAGTAGTTTTAATAAAAATCCCTACTGACTTTCCTGACCTGTGGCAATCCTGTAATAATAATTTAAATGTTATACTTTTTTCATTCCACCAGCAAAATTATATATTTGATTTGAAAAGAATTTGTCTACTCTTTTTTTTCACAAATCTTTTTATTATTTTTCTGTTTTCCAGAAAACTCAAAAAATTTGTTTCTTGTCTCAATATTTACTGAAATTTTATTTTCTTTAGAAAATTCAATTATCTTACTTATAAAATACGTTGGAACACTCAATTTATTGTCTTCAATCCAATTTTACGAATTTTCGATTTTTAGGGTTGCCACAAATATTTATGAAATTCAACAACTTATAAGAATATTATTACAAAACATGAAGAAGGCTATCACCTTCTTCATGTTTTATAATAATTTAAATTACCATAAAATTTTTCAAAAAAAAGTTCATTATTTACAAAAATCCTAATAAAATCCCTCGCAAGAATTTAATTATTTTTACAAGTAGTAAAATTTCTCAAAAATATTCAATTATTTAAAAAAAAATGTAATAAAATTCGTTGCAATAATTCAATTATTTGCATAAATAATAAATCGATTATTCGGTAATTCATTTTTAAATCAATTTTTATTAGAAAATTCTAGAAGAATTCAATTATTAAAATTAAAAAATAAATAATTTATTAAATAATTGAAGGTTTTATTAAAATTTGTCAAAACAAATTTTAATACAATTTTTAAGAATAATTACATTTTTCGAGAAATTCGATTAAAATATTGTATCCAAAATAATTAAAATACTGCGATGAGTTTTATATATTATTCATAAAATTAATTAAAATTATCCCAACAATTTTATTAAAAGTTTTCTAAAATAATTGAATTTCGGAAAAGAATTTTATTATTTATTAAGATACTTGGAATTTTGACAAGAATTTTTTTCTTTATCATAATTGAATTTCTGCGAACAATTTTATTATTTATAAAAATAATTGAATTCTTGAAAGGAATTGTGTTAAATTTTTTCAAATAATTTAATTCTTACGACGAATTTTATAAAAATCTTTTTTAAAAATTTTATGAAATTTTTTATTTTTAATAATTGAATTCCTATGAAAAATTTATTATTTATGAAAATAATTGAATTATTTCGAAGAAATTGTTTAAAATTTTTGTAAATAATTGAATTCCTGTGAAATTTTGCCAACAATTTTAATAAAAGTTATAAAAATAATTGAATTTCGGTGAAGAATTTTATTACATATTTATAAAGATAATTGAAATTTTGACGAGAATTTTTTTTTTAATTTTTGAACATAATTGAAATTCTGCGAAGAATTTTTATAATTTTTGAAAATAATTTGAATTTCTGGAATGATTTGTAACTTTTCGAAAATTTAATTTTTTTTAGTATTTTTAACTAAATTTCTTCTATCAATCTAGTATTTATGAAAATTGTAAAAGTTATTCATTAAATAATTTATAAGTCATAATTTTATATTTTTATGATACTTTTTGAAAAATTTTATTTAAAAAGAAATTATTGTCAGAAATAGAAAAAATTGAAGGTTTTGTATTATTAAAATTCGTGGTAATTTCATAGTTTACGAGGTAAACAAAAAAACATCAAAATTCAGAGTTTTCTCATGAATTTTCAAAAATTCAATTTATTTTTCCAGTACTTTTACTAAAAATCCCTGACTTTTCCCTGAATTCCCTGACCTGTGTGTTAACCCTGATTATTCAAATGTTGTACAAATTTTTACCATTGAGTTTTTTTATAAAGAGAGAAAATATTATTTTCTTTCTTAACCAACTCCAATGTTTTTATTTTTCATATAATAATAAAAATTTTATATATAATAATTTATTATTAATTTTTGAAATTCTATATTTTTTCTATTTTTTTAAAAAGCAATTTTAAAGAAAATGAAATTTTGTTTTTATACAGCCTTTCCCTTGGGGTGACGGTAACCACGGTCTTTTCCACAATAAGAAAATGAACGCTCTTCCCACTGGCTACGAGGAGTAAAAATCGTAAGAATCAAGATAGATTAATTCCATAAATATTATGTAGTTATTAAAACAAAAAGAATACAAAAATTTAATTAGCATTATATCTTAAATTTGTCAAAAAAATAAACAGAAACACAAATTTCTCTAAATATCCGAAAAATGAAAAGTTAAACTTTTTTTCACCCCTTCCTTTTTTAATTTTAAAAACAAAAACAAAAGCCCATTTTTAAATAATTAAAATAATAATGATTTATTTGTAACTAAATAAGAAGAATTACTAACAAAAAATAATTTTGCTATTGAATAAATAATTTTATTATATATTTATAAAAATAATTGAATTGTTTCAAAGGATTTATTAAGATTTTAAATAATAATTGAATTTATTCGAAATAATATTAAAATTTTTTTTAAAGATTTAATTCTTCCGAGGAATTCAATTAAAATTATTTTGAAAATAATTGAAAATTCCTGCAAAGAGTTTCTAAAAATAATTGAATTGTTTCGAAGGATTTATTAAAATTTTAGAAAATAATTGAATTGCATGGAAATATTTAAAAATATTTGAATTCTTCATAGAAATTCAATTAAAATAAAAATTTACAAATAATTTTACTATTTATAAAAATTATTGAATTATATTAAAATTTTTAAAAATTTGAAAATATAAACAATAATAATTAATTTTTTACTTGAAAAATGAACTTTTTAAATTTTGATCATGAAAATATTTAAAAAATTATATTTGAAAATAAAAGATTTTGTAATTTGCATAACAATAATAAATTGAATTCCACGTTTCGCGCGTAATATTCGCTAGTTATTAATAATTATAATAAAAGAGATTGTATACAATAATAATAATATAAAATTTTTTTTATTAATAATAATAATATAATTAATATTACACAGAAAGGAATTCAGGATACTAAAAGAAAATTCATTATTTTTCATTATTAAGAACAATTGTATTTCTTTTCTATACTATTTTCGTATAAAATTATAAATTCCATGAAACATATTAAAAATTGTATAAACTAGTAATAACTCATTTTGGTTTTTTAATGACGAAATTTGCATTTCTCATACAACGAAGATTTTTTTATAAACCTTTTACAAATTTTTTCATTTTTTTTTTATTAATATTATTAATACTTGAGTCTCAATACAAATATAATGACAGATGAGAATAAAAATTAAAACATCAATAATAATTATAATAATAATAATAATAATACTAATAATAATAATAATAAAATAATAATATTAATAATAATAATACATTTCAAAATTTTTTTCATTAACACTGTGTCCCTATAAAATAAAAATATAATTTTTATTTTTATTCGGACTCAACGTTAAAAGAATGAGTTATTTGTTCTTTCTTCTAATCTAAATACTGGCATTTTAATTCTATTTCTTCATTTTTTTAACAATTTATGGCACAAGCGGTTTTGTCGTGAATGTTTTTTTTTCGTATATATATATATCATTAGTATAACAATGACTTTGTCTCTATATCTCTCACACATACACGAATAATTATAATAAAATAACAAAAAAAGTTATTTTTCCTTTTCGAGAAAAATATATCTATTTTATATAATTCTCTTTTTATTCATTTTTCTCTCTAAATCTCTTTATTTTATACCCAAGTATTCAAAAAGTTCTATGTCTAAAAAAAAATATTTTTTTTCTTCAAAATTATAATTCTACGCTTTCTAAATATATCTATAATTAACATTTATATCTTAAATAATGTAATGCGGAACTTTTTGAATACTTCGTATATAAATAATAAATATTTATAAAAATTTTCACTATGGAACTTTTAACATTTATAGTAAATTTGCAGAAAAAGAAAATTTCTCCAAATATTTTTTAAACAAAAAATTAATTTGTTTTTTGTTCAAAAAAAAATTTCGTTCTTTATCAATGTTTTAAATTTTACTGATACTTTTGAATTTCGATTTTTCAAAAACAACAGCGTTTTCGATTTTTCGAAAAACAATAACGTTTTTTGAATCAAAAAACAATTTAATTTTTTAAAAATAAAAGAAAAAATTTTTTTTTGTGAAAATTAACGCTTTTCTTGTGAAACGAGACCAAAAAAAAAATTTTTTTTTAAGTAGTTGAACAATTTTTATTAACTAATATATGAAATAGTTAATAAAAGTCAAAATTTTCTTAATTATTTCATATGAAAAATAGTTAATAAAAATTGACTTGAAATTAAAAATAAAACTTGATTCAAGTTAAAACTTTTCTAAACCAAAGATAATTTACTTAGATTCGGCAAAAGTCCTCTGGTGGCATGTGGACTAAGGAAAAAAATCCCATTAGTAAGAAAAGGATAGACATAGCTTCGTCCTTTTCTTACCAATAGAATTTTTTAGTTATTTCACCCTCCATCGGGACTATCTAAAATTCCCTAGAATCTAGGTATATTTCACTTTTTCTGTATTTTTGTCCACTTTTTAGTAAATTATCTTAACCTAAATAAATAATAATTTTTTAAAGGTCTCTTCCACTGGAAAACGTCACGTATTTTACAAAAACAGGAAATATATTTATATATCTATAGAATATATAAAATATTTTTGGTTATATATAGCATATAATATACATGTATATATATATATTTATATAGAAATTTTCTCATACTTCTAAAATCTATATTTTGTGTATATTTTGTACACTTTTTGGTTTAACGACGTTATTTTCCACTTCTTCTTCTTCTTCTTCTTAGAAACACCGACATAAAAAAGAAAATTTATCAAAAAATAAAAATTAGGAACTTTTTTTGGATTTACAATTTTTATGATGTGCTTCCTGCCAATGTTGTTCTTGACAAGATTTAGAACAGTAATAAGCCTCTTGGCAAAGTTCACAGGCAAAGCGAATCTCTCTCTTGCAACGTAGACATAAATAATCTTCTTCCTCTTCAATTTTTACCACGAATTCTGTGTTCGAATTTTGAACCTCAGTTGATGTGGTATTCAGAGTGTTTGATGCAAGACTTTCGATTGATGATTCCCTGTTGAAAATTTGTAATTTACGTTCTACTTGCTCGGCAACAAGGGATGCACGCGATTTGCTTTTATTTGACTTACTACTTTCTGGTGGCGTCCCCTTTTTTTCCGTTGGGAAATTTTTTTTTTGTTGGGCAGGGTGTGTACGATGAAAGGCACTGGTTCTTCCCTGTGACGTACTTGGCTGCGCATAATCGTAGTTTGCTTGGTTCCTCTGCGCAGGCGTTTCGTTTTGTCCACTGTTAGATGACGTACCACTTGTACTTGGCTGCGCATAATCGTATTTTGTTCGGTTCTTCTGCGCAGAAGTTTCACTTTGTCCACTGTTAGATGACGCACTTGACTGCGCATGATTATATTTCGCGTAATTCTTCTGCGCAGGCGTCTCGTTTTGTCCACTGTTAGATGACGTACCACTTGTACTTGGCTGCGCATAATCGTATTTTGTTCGGTTCTTCTGCGCAGAAGTTTCGCTTTGTCCACTTGTAGATGACGCACCAGACTGCGCATGATTATATTTCGCATTATTCTTCTGCGCATGCGTCTCGTTTTGCCCACTTTTAGAGGAATGCGTCTCTTTTTGCCCGGACGAACTCTTATGCGAATGGGACGCATTCTTCGGCGAGGGCGTCTCATTCGAAGAAAATCTCTTCGGCGAATTCGCGTTATTCGGAGAATGTATTCTTTTCGGTTTTGACCAATTCTTCTGCGCATGCGTTCGCTCAGGCGTTTCTATTCGTGCGCTTTTCGAATCTGTAGATGACGCTGTTTCTGTAGATGACGATCGACGTTTGTGGGCAATTCTTTCCTTCTGTTTCGGACTGAATAGTGATTCCTTTTGGGGTCCTCTTTCCTTAGGCGTTTCCTTATGGCCCTCTCTTTCCCTAGGCACTTCTTTTGGGGTCCCTCTTTCCTTAGGCGCTTCCTTGTGGCTCTCTCTTTCCCTAGGCACTTCTTTTGGGGTCCCTCTTTCCTTAGGCGCTTCCTTGTGGCTCTCTCTTTCCCTAGGCACTTCTTTTGGGGTCCCTCTTTCCTTAGGCGCTTCCTTGTGGCTCTCTCTTTCCCTAGGCACTTCTTTTGGGGTCCCTCTTTCCTTAGACGCTTCCTTTTGGCCCTCTCTTTCCCTAGGCACTTCCTTTGGGGTCCCTCTTTCCTTAGGTCCTTCCTTTTGGGTCCCTCTTTCCCCAGGCACTTCCTTTTGTCCCTCTCTTTCTCTAGGTGAATCCCTTTTCGTCTCCTTTTCTTTAGTGCCTCTAGAGGCATCTCCCTTTTGTGCCTCGCGTTCTTTAGGTGCCTCGGACTCGTTCGAGGCAGGCCGCACCTGCGACTTCTGCGCTGGTGAATTGGTCTCCTTGGGTCCGAACCAACTCTTCTTGGGCGAGGGCGTTTTTTTTCGTGCGAACCTCTGTGTATGCGGGCGCCTAGACTCTGTTGCTGCTACAAAAGTTTTCATGCGCTCAAATTTATCCGCGAGTTCTTGCTCTGGCGACTCAGCTTGCAAATTGTTCGGATCGTCCCCTTCCAGTGCGAATGAACGTCGAACGTGGGCTTTTCTTTCCTTGTAGGTCCTCTTTGGAGTGTACTCGATTTCTGCCTCGTTCTGCGCAGGTGATTCCGTTTGTTTGCTGCTTCCAGGTTGTGATAACTTTGTCGCTTGCTTTGTCGCTTGCTTTTCCGTTTCGTAGCCGATTTTCGAATCCGACGATTCGGAAGATCGATGTTTGTGGTTCTCCTTGGGCTCTTTTGTACTCTTTTGTGAATTCGATTCTTTTAGCGCCTCTTTCGGGACTGGTGATTCATGTTTGCTCCCTTGTGGTACGATCTGCGCAGGTTTTTCCGTTTGGGTGTGTCTCGGAGACCACATCTCGGAATGTCGGCTTTTATACTTTGAGGAAGAGTCATTTTTCGGCGCGTTCTCTTTGGACGAATACGACTCCTTTGGCGTCCCTCTCTTTTCCGTCTGGGGAAAAGGGTTTTTTGAATTCTGCGGATTCGATTCCTTAGGCGTCTCGTTTTGCGCTTCCGTTTGTTCGCCATGCGCTACCGTCTGCTTCTCCATTCGTGCGCTTTTTGGATCATACTCATCTTTCGTAGAAGAACGACGTTTGTGCGCCTTACTCTTCTGCTGCACATACTCTATTTGTTCCGACTCTAGAATCTCTTGTTCGTTTACTACTTTGTCCGTATTCTCTTCCGGAAACTTAAGTCTTTCGCTTAGTGGTTTCACACACTGTTCCTTCGATTTTGGAGTTTTTTTTGCCTCGACGGACGATTTTTGTTCTTCGTCCTTCAATTTTGGGGGTGCTTTTGCCTCGTCGGACGATTTCTGTTCCTTCTCCTTCGGTTTTGGAGTTTTTTTCGGCACGACGGTCGATTTTTGACGCATCAGTCTTTCACGGTAAAGGTTCAAGCATTGCAGGCTAAATCGACCTTCGTCGGCTTGCGATGGGGGACTTTGATCGGAAACAACGTCAACAGTGGAAGACTCTCCGTTTTTTCTAGGAGTTCCATCAATTATTGGCATTGAGGGTAGAATATCGTTAGGGTCTAGAAGATCCCTTGATAATCCTGTAGAATTTCTCCTAGTAGTGGAAGACGATGGAGGCGTGATTATTATTGGTGATATTCTTGGGACGGTTGTAGACTCCGATGAGGGGGTTTTTTGCCCGTTAGCTGTCGAGACTGTAGGAGGAGTCACTGACGAATTTGTTCGTGAATCAGCAGATGATGGTCGATTTATCGACATGGGTAAGAAATTCGTCAACGGAACAGTGGCGATTTTCAGTGGTGATGGATTTATTCCTGTAGACGTTTTTGGCGGCATTGCAGAAGGTTTCATTGACGATTTCGTCCGCGAAGTGGTAGATGGATTCAATCGCAGGAATTCTGAAGTCGCAGATGATGGATTATTACGCGATAAGTCTGATGTCGTAGATGGTGGATTATTACGCAATAAGTCTGGTGTCGCAGGTACGGAACGTCTTCGCGAAGAGTCCGAAGTCGCAGATGATGGATTCAACCGCGATAATTCTGGTGTCGCAGGTACCGAACTTCTTCGCGAAGAGTCCAAAGTCGCAGATGATGGATTCAATCGCGATAAGTCTGAAGTCGCAGGTGACGAACTTTTTCGCCGAAAGTCCAAAGGCGGATTATTACGCGACAAGTCTAAATTTGCAGGTGATGAATTTCTTCGCGAAGAGTTCGAAATTGCGGATGATGGAGTTCTTCTAGGGGTGGCGGTAGAAATCCCTGATGAATTTTTGCGTGAAACGGTAGAAGAAATTACTGGTGGATGTGTCCTCGGAACGGTTGGAGTTACTGACGGAATTGTTCGCGATTGACTTATCGTCGAAGTAGCATTAGTCGTTACTGGTAATGGTTGTCTCCACATTGGTCGGAAGTTCGTAGATGTTACTGGTGGACTCGGGTTTTGTCGCGAAACAGCTGTAGAAGTTACCAAAGGAAGCATAGACGATGTTGGCATAACTTTTGGAGGCACTCTAGTGATTGTTGGGCCGGAATCCGGAATTGTAGAACTACTAGCGATTTTCAACGCTCCTAGAGGCATTTTTGTGATTATCAGGTCGAGAGTAGTTGGAATTGGAAGCGATTCATCGGTGGATGTCATAGAGGATGTTCGCGGTTGAACTGTAGACGTTGAAGTCGTTCGCGGTTGAACTGTAGACGTTGAAGTCGTTCGCGGTTGGACTGTAGACGTTGAAGTCGTTCGCGGTTGGACTGTAGACGTAGAAGTCATTCGCGGTTGATCTGAAGACGTAGAAGTCGTTCGCGGTTGATCTGAAGACGTAGAAGTCGTTCGCGATTGAATTGGAGTTATCGGCGTCCTCTGCGGCTCGACGGTAGGTATCCTCGGTGACAGAATCGGCCGTACGAAGACTGATGACATCAGAGGCGGTGGTCTTGATGCCGAAAGCGGTCGGTTTGGTGTCGGGTTCATCGGCATCAACGGCGGTTGATTTGGCGGAATGACAGCCGTCATTAAAGGCGTTTGATTCGGCACCAGTGGCGGTGGTTGATTAGAAGGCACCAAATTCATTATCACAGGTGTTGCGATCGGTAACACAGGAATTTCCGGCGATTCTTCATCAATTATTGTTATAGTAATCGGTGTCGTCACCGGCAGCACTTGCTCAGGAGTCGTTATTTTTTGATTGTTCGATTGAACCCCCAATGCAGCACTTTCATTTCCATCCATATTTGGTGGTACTTCCGAAACTAAATTTACACCCAAACCTTCCTCCGTAGCGGAATTTGGAGTCGAGTTATCACGAGGATTAAGCGTAATCGATTGCTCGACTATTGTTTTCAAACTCTCAACAGTGAGATTCGAATTCTTCAAAAGAAGATTTATATTATCTGGACTTAAAATTGGACTTGGGACTGGCACTGGTTCGTCGGGCACCTTTGTCACAATTCCTTCCGTAATCGTCACATTTTGTTGCCTAATGGTAAATGTCTCTTTGTTCAATGTTTCATAATTCCTAATCAGACTGCAATAGCTTTTGCATTGATCTTGAAACGTTTTGTACTGCTCACTAGTGAAACCTATCCTTTCGGTCGGTGGTGGATTTTCCCTAGAAGTCGGATTAACATCAATGTTTATAATCTCATGATTTTCAGCGATTGTTTCAACTTGTGGTTGAATTGTTCGTTGATCGGGAATTAATGGTGAATTAGTAAGAAGCTGTTGAAGAATACAAGGTTCGGGTGGTCGCAAACGTAGACACATAATGTAATTGAGTTCCTCTTTGTTAAGCACTGGTTGTAGCGTCATAAAAGAATAGGAATTCAATATAAAGTACATTTTCGGTTCGTCGAATGGAATGTTGAGGAAATTGGCGACTTTCTGAAGGTTTTCGTTTAGAAGTAAATTGTGCTCCTTCAATTCGGGACTGCACATTCCCAGTGGACGATTTTGATACTTTTGGCGTAAAATTATCGTATTTTCCGAGACACTACGCAGCAGTTTAGTTAAATCGTTGAGGGCGTTTGCTAAAACTCCGGTGGTACACGGCATGTAAATTGGTTTCACATAGGCCAGTAAATCGTGCATCGCTACTTCCGCACGTTTCTGTGCATTTGCATCACCAGCAAACATTGGCAGTAAATTATCATTAGTTTTTGATTTAGTTTGACGCCTCCTTGGTGCTGGATTTTGACGCGGTTGTCTAGGTTTTGGATTCGCCTTTCTAGGATTTGCCGTTCGGGGATTATTCTGATTATTCGGATTGTTCATAATCCAAGAATTTGGAGGCATTTGAGGCTGAATTGGATGATGTGGATTCGATATTAGTGCTGGATTTAGCAAAATCAATTGAGGATTTTGAAAACCTTGGGGAATAAACTGTGGAATTGGTGGTAAACAATTGGAAAGGTTTTGCAATTGTATTAGAGGATTATTTTCTATTGGTTGTTGTGGATTAATTGTTGGTTGAGGATTAAATACTGGCTGTGGATTAATTACAAACTGCGGATTACTTTCAGGCTGTGAATTAATTACTAGCTGTTCATTAATTATTGGTTGGGGATTAATTGTTGGCTGTTCGTTAATTACTGGCTGCGGATTAATTACTGGCTGTTCATTAACTACCGGCGTTGGACACCAACGTGGGCAACCAAGTTCACTTGGATTTCTAACGCGTATTTTTTGAGTAAAAACATTTTCTACCGGTTTTTCAACATTTTCCACTGTTTCCTTTGTTGATTCTTGACTCCTCGTTGATTCTTCCCCATTTTCCACTGTTTCTCTTGTCGATTCTTGACCCCTCGTTGACTCTTCCTCATTTTCCACACTTTCCGACGAATTCCCTCCTGCCGATAATTTATCAATTTCGAATTCTTCCACTCTTCTCGTGAGATGCTTCATTCGACTTAAATCCTCATTTGTTCGTGTTAAATTTTCCATCGTTTCGTTGAGATCCTCGGTGAAATTTTCTGAATCTTCGTTTGATTCTAAATTTTTATTCTCACTACTTTGACGATCGGCGTTTATATTTATTTTATCGCTGCTTTTCAAAATTTCACAACTTCTAATACGCAATTTGTCAACTGGTTGTAAATTTTCCCTCGAAACATTATTTTTATCATCTTTCGTTATTTTTTCCTCTATAATTTCAATTTCACAATCGGAAATTGTGCTACTGTCGGGTAAATGAGATTCTTGATGCGATTCATTTTTATCAGAATTCTTTCGGCTCTTTGATAATTCGGGATTTATTTCATCTAATAATTGACAGTGAATTTCAGTTGAATCGGGACTTTCGGTGTCGCGAACTAGTGGTGAAAAATCACTGACACACGCGCCTGAATCATAAGAATCGCAGGAATTAAATTGACGACGTTTTGGATAGAAATTGATTCCATTCTTTTCACATTTCTCTTGAATTGAAATGTCTGTTAATGAAATATCAGTCTTTTCATTATTATTATTATTATTATTAATGGGAATTTCAAATTTCTCTTGACTTGAAAGTTCAGTCTTTTGATTTGTTAAAACATCTTTTGTTGAGGTAATTTCAGTTTCTTTAATTTCGGCGGTAATTTCAATTTCATTGTCATTTAAAACAACTTTGGAAGAAATTTCCAATTCTTTGGAGGAAATTTTTAATTCTTTTGAGGGAATTGAAAATTTTTCTTGATTTGAAATATCTGCCGAGGAAATAATAGTTTTTTCTTGATCTGAAACTTTTTCCGAAGGTATTTCAATCATTTTTTTGGAGGAAGTATTTTTTTTATGAGTCGCTTTTTTCTCTTGTGACACAATTTTTAAATCTTGTTTTCTTTTAAACTTTTTTGTTACTTCTTTCTGAACAATATAATACTTTTGCTTATGTAACTTTTTCATTTTTAATTTGTCGCGAATTAATGAATGTTTAGGGTCGGATTTTCTTTTTTTTTCTGATAAATTTTCATTTTTATGTCGTTTTTCATTGCATTTGACTTTTGATTTTCTTCGAATTTTTTTCACCCCATTTTCATCGTTTTCTTTTTTCTTTAGTAATTCTTTATTAATACTTTTTATTCCTAATGTAATTTTTAAGGGAGAATCCTTATTTATTGATAACTTATGTAAATTATTATTAAAATTACTACTAGTACCAATTGATTGAGATTCGTTGGCTGGACATGAATTTTCAAATGAAGACTTTTGACATTTTTTCTTCTTATTATTTTTTTCCTCCATTTTGGAACTTTTTTTTCTATTTTTTTCTTTACAATGTGTCGATGAATCAGAATGATTTTTTCGTGACGAAGATTTTTTTTCGCAAGATATCGATGAACTATCGACGTAAACTAATTTCTCTCTTTCGCTGTCTGTGTCCGTTGTTAAATCAATTTGAGTAACAATTTTTCTTACCGGTAAATCGCCGATGTTATTTTTATTTTCCTTTGTGTCCATTTCATTCGTTTTCGTTAAATCAATGAAATTTTTACACGATGTCGAAGAAGAATTTTCAAATGAAGAACACTTGACGTCTGTTATAGAATTTTCGTCATTTTTCTTATCCTGTGATTTTGACTGATTCTCTTTATTCGATTTCCTCCTTGAATATCTAAAAATAAAAGAAACAATTTAGTAACAGAATTTGACAAAAAAATTATAAAAAAAAGATGTGTAAAAATTCGAAAAAAGTGCTTAATTATTTCTAAAAAATAGAAAATTAAGAACTGAATAAAAAAATAGTTTCTTGAATAAAAACAAAATTCTTTTCTATTATGTCTATTATTAAAAAATACAAAATTTAAAAAATCTAAGTTAAAAATAGTTATTGCGATTATTATTTTTTTAAATTAAAAAATAGAAAATTATTTCTTACGTATCAGGAAGTCGTTCTAATTTTAAAGTCGTTTTCGACATCAATTGAATAAAGGATTTATGAATTTCTCCGGCTGACAACCCATTAGATTCGAGTTCGAATTTCACCTAAAAAACCACAAAAGTTAAAAAAATTATTTAATCATTTTTCTTTTTTTTACATAAAAAATAATTAAAAAACGAAAAGTTGACAAATGTTTTTCACTACTAAACTATACTTATTGAAAGTCAATAAAGAACTGAAGTCAAAAATCATATTAGAATATTGACTTAATAAAGGGAAGAAGGGGGAAAAAAGTATTTTCTATGCAGGAAAATTAGACACGTGTCCTAAAAGTTGCATCCAATTTATTGAAAATGACACAAAAAAATGATAGAATTACTATTTTTCTATTTAAAAAAAAAAAAAAAGAAAAAAAAAATTTTTTTCAAAAAAAAAACAATGCAATTATTTTCAATATCTGCAATTTCAATAAAATTTGCACAAAAGAATTCAATTATTTAAAAAATAATTTTAATCAAAATCGTCGCAAGAATTCAATTTGTTTTGTAAGTTGTATAAAATTCTACGGAAAAATTCAATTATTTTCAATACATCGAAATAATTGAATTTGTATTTTTATTTTATTATTTTTGTCCATTATTTTCATAAATAATAAAATTTTCACAGCAATTCAATTATTTAATTAAATTTAATTTCAATTATTTTTTATACAATTTTAAATTAATTCTTCGAAAAATGCAATTATTCTTGAAAATTTTATACAAATTCTTCGAAAGAATTTAATTTTAAGAAATATTCAATAACGTATTTGAAAAAAAAAATTTATAAAATTATTTGTAAACATTCAAATATTTAAAACAGAATTTTCATAAAGTTCTCTGACAGAAATCAATTATTTAAAAAGATTTTTTTAAATTCTTCGCAACAATTCAATTATCTTTATAAATAATAAAATTCGTTGCAAGAATTCAATTATTTTCAAAAATAATGAAATTTTCACAGGAATTCAATTATTTTAGACAAAATTTTAATAAAGTTTTTTCATAAGAAATCAATTATTTAAAAAGATTTTCCATGAAATTTGACGCAAGAATTCAATTTTTTGAAAATATTTGAATTCCTAAAAAGCATTTTATTGTTTATGAAAATAGTTGAATTCTTGCGAACGATTTTATTAGAATTTTTTCAAATAATTGAATTTCTATGAAAAATATTATTAGTGAAAGAAATTGAATTATTGCGAAGAATTTCATAAAAATTTCGTTAAATAATTGTTTTTTTAAAAAGCTATTCTAAATTAATTGAATTCCCGTAGAAAATTTTTATTATAAATATGAAAATAATTTTTATCAATTGATGAATTTTATCAATTTTTTTTTAATAATTGAATTCTTTGACGTAATTGAATTCCAGCTAAGAATTTTAATATTTTTGAAAATAATTAAATGCCTGTCAAGATTATATTAATTTTTCAAAAATAATTGAATTCCTGAGAAGAATTTTATTATTTATGAAAATAATTGAATTATTGCGAAAAATGTTATTAAAAGTTTTCAAAATAATTGAATTCCTGCGAAGGATTTCATTAAAAGTTTTGAATATAATTTAATTCTTACGAAGAATTTTATTAATATTTAAAACTAATTGAATTCCTGTGAAGGATTTTATTAATTTTTAAAAATAATTGAATTTCTGTAAAGAATTTTGATAAATTTTGAAAATAATTGAATTCCCGTTAAGAATTTATTTATTTTTTAAAAATAATTGAAATCCTTCGACCAATTTTATTATTTTAGGAAAATAATTGAATTGCTGTGAATAATTTGATTAATTTTTGTAAATAATTGAATTTCTACGATGAATTTTATTAAAAAAATTTTTAAAAAATTCAAAAGAATTCTTGCAAAGAAAATTAAAATTCTTTCTCGGAAATCAGTTAAAATTGTATTCAAAGTAATTGATTGCTTATTAAATAATATTATTAAATTTTTTTAAAATAATTAAATTCGTTTGAGAAATTTTACAAAAATTGTATTGAAAATAATTGAATTCCTGCGAAGAATTTGATTAATTTTTGAAAATAATAGAATTATATTAAAATAATTTGAGAAATTATTAAAGTTTTGAGTATATAAATTTTAGTTAAAAATTCTAGAAAATTAAATAAGAATTTTTCTAAAAATCCAGGAAAAAAAATTCTAATTTTAATAATTAAGAATAATGACATTTTTCGAGGAATTCGATTAAAATTGTATTAAAAATAATTGAAATTCTTCAATGAGTTTTATTATAGTAAGTTATAAAAATAATTGAATTATTGCGAAGAATTTTATGAAAAAGTTTCAAACAATTGATTTATTTCGAAAAAATTTATGCAAATTCTATATTTAATAATTGAATTCCTGTGAAATTTTCATTATTTTAGGAAATAATTGAAAATTTTGCAAAGAATTTTATTAAAATTTTTGAAAATAATTGAATTTTATTACTTTTGAAAATAATTCAATACAATTTAAATGATGAAAATATTAGAAAATTAAAAAAAACATAAATAAAAAAAATGACATCAATAATAAAATTAATAATTAATCAATGAAAAATACTAAATATAAGGAAAATAAAAAAATAAAATTTAATATTAATGAAAACTAATAAAAATAGGAAAATAAAAATTGTGGAAGAAGCAAAAAAAATGTAAAACAAGGAAAAAATATTAAAAATATAAACAACAAAAAATAGTGTAAATAAAAAATATCTAAAAGAATAAAATTAAATTCAAATAAGTGTATCGAATTATATGTTTCGAAAAGAATGAAATAGAAATTTTTAAGGAAACAATAAATTGGAATATTATGTTTCCATGAATAGAAAATTCGTTTTTAGAAATTGTACAGAATAGAATATATTTTACTCCCATAAATTCAATAATATCAACTTTTTTTTTCTCCGAAATTTTATTTCTCTGAAAGAAATAAAAACAAGAGAGAAAAATAATACAAAATATAAATAACAAAAGATAAAAAAAATATCTAGAACTCTTTTTTTATCTATTTGTATTTAAAATAACAAATTTAAATTAAATTTCAATACTACTTGATGAAAATTCCATTCTCTGTAATAAAAGCACGTGTAACTCGATAGAATTTCTTACGCAATTATCCCTTTTGTTTTTCTCCGAAATAATAACACAGAAAACAAAGAGAAAACAAAAATCGACAAAACACTACATTGATTTGCAAAATCAAGCATTTTAAAAAATAAAATACAAGTGAAAAATTTTCCCTTTAAAGATAATAATAAGAAATTTGAATATTAAAATAAATCAAATGAACTGAATATATAAAAGAAATTTACTTATAACCTAAAAAAAGTTTAGATGCGTATATATTTTACCTTGCGGAGAAATTCCTTTCTGCGTGAAGAACCCAATTCGTGGAGCCATTGTTTCAAAACGAAATTCTCCAATTTTTTCGCTATATTTGTATTGCTTGTCGACATTATTATCTTGTATAAGGCACTGGAATCAAAAAAAGAAAGAAGAAAATACTTTAAATGCCGCAAAAATAAATTAAAATTCAATTTTTCCAGTTAACAATTGACACGAACCACTAATTTTATCCCAAATAAACATCACTTATTTTTTATTATTATTTTAATTATAAACATTATAAAGATACCATTAAAATTTGGAAATTATAATTCTCTACCTTCTCTAAAAAACAAATCATCACAACAAGCATTCTCTCTCGAGTCGCTTTATTTGTGTCGCCATTTTGCTTTTTTCCGCGCAATCTGCGTGCGCAACAGTTTTATTTTCTGTTGTTTTTTCTTGGTAAAAACGGGTTAAAAATTAAAAATAAGAAATAAAAATACCTTTTCTCATTGTTTTAGGTGGAAAGGGGGAAAAATTAGGAGGAGAGATAGAGATTTTCCACTTCTTTTTTTGGTTACAATTTTAAATTTTTCCGCGTTTCCATCTCTGGGGAGTGAATGCGAAACTAAACGCGTCTCCCATAGTGCATTGCGCGTCGGACTCCTGTCTATTGGTATAATGGCCGCTGTATTCTTATAGTGTTTAACATTTTATTCTCGGGCACATAAGGGAAGTAAATTAAACAACCGGGGATGGAAATTTAGTTTTTCTTCAAACTTTTTTTTAATCGTGACGTGACGCGTTTCAATAAAGAAAAAAAATGGAATAATTGTTAAAGTGAATCGTCAATTGTTTGTAATTTCAGAATATTATACACGATCTGTATAACTTGTTTGTTTTGTGTGATTTTATAGTTTTCAACTATACTTTTACTGGAAAAATCACTTTTCCTTTTCTCAAACGGGCTTTTCTTTTTTTGATTTCTCGAGTCGATCTCACGTCAAAAGGAAAATAAAATATGAGTTCGAATAATGTTCAGGCATTGTTTGCCTGCTCGAGATGTTTTTCACGACATCCCTTCGAGGAATTATCACCAGGTCAACAACTGTGTAAGGTAAGAATTTCTTTTTAGAATAATTTCTTTTTTTTACTTTGGCAAAGAGAATGAAAGTTCTACAAACCATTTTTCTTTTTGTAGAAACAATTTGAATTTTTTTTGTCTGTGATTTTTTCGATCATTTCGAGGTTAGGTCGCGTGATGTACATTTTTCCCTAAAATATATATGTCTTTTTTTGATCAATATTGACAGTTTTTATTTTTGGAACAATGACGTGGTTTTTAAAGTCTAAAGAAAATTGTTTTTCTTCAAATAATTTTGCGCGTTAATAATTAATGGAAATGGTGCGTTATTTTCTTTGTTTATTAAAAATAGAATTTTATATATTCTCTTGAAAAATGTGAATATATGTAAAGGATGTAAAACATGTAAAATAACGGTAAGAGGTGAAAAGTATTTTATTTTTTGTAAATTAAAGAGTTTTTTTGTAACATATTATAAAATAAATAATAAATTATGTATGATAACTATGTGACTTCTTATTAATTTTCTCTTATTGAAATTTTTGCTTTTTTTTAATATCTTCTATAGGATTTTTTTTATAATTATTATTCTTTAAATTTATAAATTTATTATGCGATTAATGTAAAATATCTTTATAATAAACGGAAATTATTTTCAAGAAGGTTTTATTATTTATTATTAATTATTGGGAAATAAAAAAAATCAAAACTCAATCGATCGAAAGACTCCAAGTTTCTTCTGAAAGCTTTTGTTATTTCTCAGGAATGTCGAGGAACATTTCCGGTGGTCAAATGCACCTATTGTCGATCGGAATTTCAACAGACAGTGTAAGTTGTCATTTCTTGTGAATTATTATTATTTATCTGTATGTAAATAAATTTAAAATAACTTATTCCATTTATTTTTTTGTACAAATACATTTTTTTACTTCAATTTTTTTTAGATTTAAACATTTTTTAACGCATTTTTTACTTTAATTTTTATTTTAGATTAAAAAATTTTTTTATTTCAATTTTTATTTTACAATTTAGATTAGAAAATTTTTTAACGCAAATTTTGTTGTAAAAATATCATTTTTTTACTTTAATTATGTTATTTTAAATAATTTTTTAACATAACATTTTTTTATTTTAATTTTTAATTTAGTTTAAAAAATTTTTCAACTAAACTTTTCTTTTGAAAATACAAATTTTTTTACTTTAATTTTTATTTTAGATTTTAAAAAAAATTTTAACGCGACTTTTTGTGTGAAAATAAAATTTTTTTTACTTTAATTTATATTTTACATGAAAAAAATTTTTTTAACACAATTTGTTTAGCAAAAATTTAAATTTTTTTACTTTTATTTTAGAGTAAAAAAGTTTTTTTTGTAAGTATAGTTATATTTTTCTTATTTGAATTTTTCATAGTTTAAAATTTCTTTTTTAATTTACAGTAAACAAATATTGTTTATTTTTACTTTTTTGTATGAGAAAAATTCTTTGCTTTCAGTATTTTACGTAATTTACTTAAAATAAAATTTTTAATGTAATTTTTCGACATTTTGTACGAAATAAAAATTTTTAATTCAGTTTTAAGGTTTTTTTTTGATTAAAAAATATCGCCAAAAATTTTTAATCTAAATTTGATTATTTAAAAATTGTTTAATGCTAATTTTTTTCTATTTTACAATAAAAAAAATTGTTTACGAAATCTTGAAAAAAAATAACTGCAAAATTAAATATTTTTTCTAATAATTTCTTATTTGTTTTTGTAGTTGAAAAAAATTTGTCTGCAATTTTTTTCAATTTTTTTTGTAAATTATATTTTTCTGAATTTTCTTGTTATTTAATTTCGGAAATATTTTTTAATTTTAACAAAATTTGTTAAACATTTTATATTTATTTATTTACTTAACAAAAAAAACATTTGCGAATATTTCACTGTTAGTTTGCTTTATTTTTTTTTTTATTAATTTTTAAAAGAAGAATGTTATCTAATTTGTTGATTTTTCTTTTTTTCTCAACAGAAAAGGAAATACGAGCACAATCTGTAAAAAGTGCGAGCAAAATGTGAAAGCCTATGGAAAACCATCGGCTTGTGAATATTGTAATACAATTGCGGCTTTTATTGGCAGCAAATGTCAGCGTTGCACAAATTCTGAAAAACGATATGGACCGCCAGTTACATGTGAGCAGTGCAAGCAAAAATGTGCCTTCGACCGACAAGACGAAGACAAGAAGGTAAAAAAAATGAATTTTTAATAATTTTTTCAAATAATAATTATATTATACTAATAATATTAGTAGTAAAAATAATATTAATAGCATAATAATATTCATAGAAATAAAATAGAGTAAACAAATTTTTTTATTTTCAAACAAAATTATAATATGCGAAAATTCAGTTTTTGAACGATTTTTTTACACTTAAAAAATTAAGACTATAAAAATGTAAATAATAGTAATTTAAATTTAATAATTTAACAATATTAAGAAATATAATAATTTATTGACTAAATAATTAATTTTCTTTAAAAATTGCAGGTGGATGGAAAACTTCTCTGCTGGCTTTGTACACTTTCGTACAAACGTGCGCTTGCAAAAACGAAGCAAACGGAATCGGAGAGACGAGCGCATTTAAAATTGGCTCAACAACGAGCCGCGAAGCACAAAGAACAAAAGTAACTTTTTTCCCCAATTGTATAATTTTAGTTCAGGGTTGCCACAAATATTTAATTTTGTTTTTCCCTGACTTTTCCCTGATTTCCAGAAAAAATTTCCACTTTTCCCTGACCCTAAAGAATATTCTGATTCACTCTAAAAATTATTAGATACTCCAAAAAATGTTCTATTACATTATTTATTATTTATAAAAATAATTGAAATTCTGACGAGAATTTTTTTTCAATTTTTGAACATAATTGAAATTCTGCGAAGAATTTTTATAATTTTTGAAAATAATTTGAATTTCTGGAATGATTTGTAACTTTTCGAAAATTTAATTTTTTTAGTATTTTTAACTAAATTTCTTCTATCAATCTAGTATTTATGAAAATTGTAAAAGTTATTTATTAAATAATTTATAAGTCATAATTTTATGATACTTTTTGAAAAATGAAGTTATTTAAAAAGAAATTATTGTCAGAAATAGAAAAAATTGAAGGTTTTGTATTAAAATTCGTGGTAATGTCATAGTTTACGAGGCAAACAAAAAAATATCAAAATTCAGAGTTTTCTCATGAATTTTCAAAAATTCAATTTATTTTTCCAGTACTGTTACTAAAAATCCTTGACTTTTCCCTGATTTCCCTGACCAATTTTACTTACCCTGACTTTACCCTGAATTCTCTGACCTGTGGCAACCCTGTAGTTATGAAATTTATTTCGAAATTTTTTTTTTTTTTATTTCCAATGGTTAGAAATAAATTCTAAAGGAATCTAAATAATAGAAATAAATTTTAAGCATAAGAGATAAATTCTAAATATTAGAATTATTATATTTAGAATTTATCTCTTATGCTTAATATTTATTTCTAGTGTTTAGAATTTATTTCCTTTAAGAAAAATTATTATTTTTACTAATTATTAACTGATTTTCTTTTTTTTTTTAATTTATCTTCCGATTTTTATTACTGATTATTAACCGATTTTCAACTTGTAACATGAATTTTGTTTTAGATTAAAGGGTCATAATAAGAGACCGCAACGTGTCGATGTGACGAAACTTCCGCCACAACCGGAGCCTGAGACAAATGGACCAACGCCGGCAAAAATTGCCCGATTAGCCGGTGTTCACGATCCACACGATCCAAATATTTCCGATCATGTCGTTGCTGTCACTCAACTCAAAGAAACAATCGCCAATTTACAGAAGCAAATCACTATACGTGACAGTCAATTACTAGCCAAGGATAAAATGGTGAATATTTTTTCATTTTACAAAATTTTTATAAATTTACAAACTAACAGAAAATAAAGAAAATGTATTTTATCAAATTTCCAATTTTTAAATATCTAAAAGTTTACATATTTATATTCTTTCTTTTTTTGTTTTTTTTTCAATTAAAAAATTAAAAATAGATTTTTAAATCATTTACTGTAATTTTAATAAAATTGTTTTTCTTTTTTTTGCTTTTTCAATTAAAAAGATTTGAAAAGAAAATTATAAAAAATAGATTTTTAAACCATTTACTATAATTTTTTTTTAATAAAAATTGTTTTTTTCTCAACAGATTCACGAATTGAAGGCGAAAAATTTCACCGCCGAAAATGAATTGCGCAATAAAATGAAATCAACGGAAAAAGTATACGATACAAAAATATCATCGTTGCAAATGAAAATTTCAAATTTACTCAAGGAAGTTGCGACTCTATCGAAAAGTACAAAACGTGATAGAATTGCGGCAACGAAAAATGAAGCGAAAAGTGAAAATAGTGGAAGTGGTACCGACAGTCCTGTACCATGAGATAATTCATAGAACAATAATAATTGATTCCTTCTTTTTGAAAAGCAAAAGAAAAAAAAAATTACGAAAGAGAAAAGTGCTTTCGTTTATGATTTTTTATCAATATAGAAAAAGTAGAATTTTGAAAATTTTTAACAAAATAAGAAAAACAAAACAAAATCATATTTTCAAATTATAAAGAAGGTTTAGTAACATTTTTTTTTTTACTTTATAAGAATTTCAATTTTCTCTAGTGATAATTATCTATTACTTTTTTAGCCTATTTAAAATTTTTTTTTTGTTTAATTTCTCGTCCCTAGTTATATTGACTTCAAATATTTGATTTTTAATGTCTCAGCTCTGACATTTAAACGATATTTGTATATTTAGGTTGCAATTTTCATTTTTTTAGAATTTCTTTTTTCAAAACAAAAAGAAAAGAAAAAGATTTTTCTCTACAAGAAATATTTAATCTTTCAACATTTCATGGCTTTATTATTTCCGTCGATGATATGAGAAAGGAAAAAAGAATAGTTGTATTATATTTCTAATTATTTTAGAAATCAATGATGGACATATTATGATGATATGTTGGATGATTTGTTTTTCTAATTTTTTTTTATAATTATTATTAAAACTTAATCAGCGAATTTAAAATAAAAGGAAAGGAATGAAAAATAATAAATAAATTAACGATTAATTTAAAAAAAAAAAAATCTATGTCTTCTCCCAAGGTTTTTATCCTTGATTAGAAGTACGATAACTACGATATTTTACTATTTATAAGTAATGTAAACCATGAAAAAAACAAACTGATAAAAATCTATAAAAAAAAAGAAAAAAGGGTGATTGTAGAAACAATTTTCAATAAAAATATGAAAAAAAACTGAAAATTTCATTGTTTTGACGTTAAATTTATGAAATATGTATAAGAAACCTTAAAAATTTTTTGTAAGATATTTTTGATTAAATAATCGAACTTTCGAGTACCACCAGGAATAATCCTCGTAATAAGTTTAATTCTAAATTTTTTTAAAATTCAATTATTTTCCAAATTTTCAATTAAAATAATTCTTTAAAAATACGATTATATTTCAAAATATTTTTTAAAAGTAAACAAATATAATTTATTTCAATGAAATTTGACAAAATTTTCAATCGTTTCAATTTTTTAAAATTATCTTCGCAAAGAGGTACAATTATTTTAAAGAAATTTTAATTATATTTCAAAATTGAATTATTTTTTTTAGAATTTTTGAATAAAATTATTCAAAATTTTAACAATTTTTAAAGAAAAGTAATGTAATTAATAATTTTAAAAATAAAAATAAAAATATTTTTATATTTTTGCTTCCCTTAAATTTTCAAAGAATATAATTTAAAAATCTTTAAAAATTTTAATTAATTCCTAAAATTTCTGAAACATTGTTTTAAATAATTAATTTTTTTAAAAATATAATAAATATTATGAAAATTTTATTTTGAATAATTAAATTCTTGTGGAAAACTTTTATATGTGAAAATTATTGAATTTTTCGATTAATTAATTTAAAATATAGTATTAAAAATAGTTGAAATTATTCGATGGGTTTTATTATTTATGAAAATAATTGAATTCTTAGGAAAGATTTTACTAGAATTTTTTAAGATAATTGAATTTCCAAGAAGACATTTATTACTTTTAAAAACAATTGAATTCTTGTGATGAATATTGTTATTTATAAAAATTATTGGATTTTGCAGAGAATTTTATTAAAATGCCTCAAAATAATTGAATTTTCGGGAAGAATTTTCTTAAAATCTAAAAAAAAAATTTTATTATTTCAAAAAAAACTTAATTAACATTGTATTTAAAATAATTGATTTCTTTCGGACAATTTATTAAATATATTTGAAAATAATTGAATTCCTTTGAAAAATTCTAATATTTTTGGAAATAATTGAATTATTTCGAAAAATTAAAAAAAAACATTTTTTTAAATAATTGATTTTTCCGAGGAATTGAAATTAAATTTTTAAAAATAATTACATTTTTTGAGCAATTTCTATAAAATTGTATTAAAAATAATTGAAATTCTGTGATGAATTTTGTTATTTATGCGAAAATAATTGAATAGTTGCCAAGAATTTTAATAAAATTTTCAATAATAATTGAATTTCTGAGGAGAATTTTATTATTTATAAAAATAATTGAATTATTGCGAAAAATTTTATTAAAATGTTTAAAAAGAATTGAATTTCGGTGAAAAGTTTTGTTATTTCTGAAAATAATTGAATTTTGCAAATAATTTTATAAACATTGTTTTAAATCATTAAATTTTTTGAAATATAATAAATATTATGAAAATTTTATTTTAAATAATTGAATTCTTATGGAAAACTTTATTTGTGAAAATAATTGAATTTTTCGATTAATTGATTTAAAATAGTATTAAAAATTAAAAATAATTGAAATTCTTCGATGATTTTTATTATTATTTATGAAAATAATTGACATTCTTGTTTAGAATTTTATGAAACATTTTTTTTTTAAATTGAATTTCCATGAAAAATGTTATTATTTGTGAAAAGTATGTATTTGAATTATTGTGCGAAGAATTGTATAAAAATTTTGTTAAATAATTGATTTTTTCGAAATTTTTTTTGAAAATGCTATTCCAAATTAATTAAATTCATGTGGAAATTTTATTAGTTTTGAAAATGAAAATAATTGAATTTTCGATGAATTTTATCAATTTTTTTTAAATAATTGAATTGTTTTGGGAAATTTGATAAAAATACTACATATATTTTTTGAAAAAAATTGAATTGCTTTGGGAAATTCAATTATCTTTACAAAGAGTAAAATTTTGTTTTTAAAAATTCAATTATTTACAAAAATTTGAATAAAATTCTTTGCAAAATTAAAATTATTTTCAAATGTTTTTCGCATTTCAATGATTTTGAATATTTTCATAAAATTTATCAAATAATTTAATTTTTAAAAAAAATGTTTAATACAATTCTACGAAAACATTCAACCATTTTCATAAATAATAAAATTTCATTTAGGAATTCAATTATTTTCATCGCAGAATTTTAAATATTTTTCATACAGTTTTAAATAAATTCCTTGATAAATGCAATTATTCTTAAAAAATTTTATTAAAACTTTACAAAAGAATTCAATTTTAAGAAACATTCAATTATTCAATATAATAATAAAATTCGTTACAGTAATTAAATTATTTTCATAAATAACTTTTAATACGTCGCATAAAATTGATTTTAAAAATTTTTTAAGTAATTTTGCAAAAGAATTCAATTATCTTGATAAACAAAATTCTCCCCATAAAATCAATTATTTTAAGGAATTTTAATGAAATTCTTTTCCAAAATTCAATTATTTTGGTGAATATCAAAATTCTTCTCAGGAATTCAATTATTGTCAAAAATTTTAATTAAATTCTTGGCAAAATTTCAATTATTTAAACAAAATTTAATAAAATACTTTGCAGGAATTCAATTATTTTTGTAAATTTTAATGAATATAATTATATCGTCAAGAATTCAATTACTTTTATAAATAGCAAAATTTTTCGCCAAAAATTCAATTATTTTCAAAAATTTAAATAAAATTCATTGCAATATTTCAATTATTTTTAAAACTTTTTCGCAATTCAATGTTTTTAAATATTTACTATTTTGATAAATTTTATCAGCAGATTTAATTATAGAAAAAACTTGTTGATACAATTCTACGAAAAGATTCAATTATTTTCATAAATAATAAAATTTCATTTACGAATTCAATTATTTTCATCGCAGAATTTCAAATATTTTTAATACAATTTAAAATAAATTCCTTGAAAAATGCAATTATTATTAAAAATTTTATTAAAACTTGAGGAAAGAATTCAATTTTAAGAAACATTCAATTATTTACAATTATTTTCAAAAATTTTTAAGTAATTTTGCAAAAGAATTCAATTAGCTTGATAAACAAAATTCTCCCCATAAAATCAATTATTTTAAGGAATTTTAATGAAATTCTTTTCCAAAATTCAATTATTTTGATAAATATCAATATTCATCATTATAAGAATTCAATTCTTTTGAAAAGTAATAAAATACTCTGCAGAAATTAAATTATTTTCAAAATTTTTTAAAAATTCTCGTCAAGAATTAAATTTTCTTTGCAAAATTTGTCTCAAGAATTCAATTACTGTCAAAAATTTAAATAAAATTTCTTGGCAAAATTTCAATTATATAAACAGAATTTAATAAAATGCTTTGCATGAATTCAATTATTAAATTATAATCAAATTCTTTAAAACGATTCAATTATTTTCAAGAAATATTCGAAATTCAATTGTTTTCAATATCTAGTATTTTCATAAAATTTCCCAAACCAATCCAATTATTAAAAAAATAAAATTCATCCAAACTTCAATTATTTTCGCAAAAAATAAATTTCCCACAGGTATTCAATTTATTTCGAATATCATTTTAAAAAAAAATTTCGAAAAAATCAATTATTCATCAAAATTTGTATACAATTCTTCACAATACATAATTCAATTATTTTCACTAATAATATTTTTCATGCAAATTCAATTATTTAAAATTAAATTTTCATAATATTTATTATATATTACGAAAAAATTAATTATTTAAAACAATGTTTATAAAATTCTTATGCAAAATTCAAATATTCTCAAAAAATTTTAATGGAATTCTTTGTGAAATTTAACTGTTTTTAAAAACTTTTCGTCGTTCAATGATTTTCAAACTATTATTTTCATAAAATTTCCAAACAGAATTCGATTATTTAAAAAATTTTTTGTAAAAATCTTCGTAAGAATCTATTTATTTTCACATAAATAATAAAATTCATATTTCAATTATTTTTAATACAATTTTACAGGAATTACTCGAAAAATGTATTTTTTTTGAGGAATTAAAATTAAATTTTTATGAATAATTATTCATAAAAATTTAATTTCAATTCCTCGAAAAAATCAATTATTTAAAAAAGTGTGTTTTTTAAATTCTTTTGAAGAATTCAATTTATTATTCACAAAAATATTAGTATTTTTCACAGGAATTCAATTATTTTCAAATATTTTAATAAAATTGTTCGAAAGAAATCAATTATTTTCGAGATTATTTTATATACAATTTTAATTAAATTTTCTTTAAAGTAATTCAATTATTCTTTTAGATTTTAATAAAATTCCTCCCAAGAATACAATTATTTACATAAATAATTCTTCAAAAGAATTCAATTATTAAAGATAAATAACAAAATTATTTCCAAAAATTCAATTATTTTGAGGCATTTTAATAAAATTCTTTGCAAAATCAAATTATTTTCATAAATAACATTATTCATCATTATTCAACATTATTCATCATTCATTATTTTTAAAAAAAATTTAACCATTTGCCACAGAGAAAATTTCATTGCTTTCAAAAATTTTAATAGAATTCTTTTTGTAAAATTGTATTATTTTTAAAACTTTTTTGCAATTCAATGATTTACAATATCTACTATTTTCATAAAATTTCCAAACAGAATTCCATTATTTAATAGTATATTGATCAACATGGGTATGAAGGCATCCCAATTTGTTTACGATGATTTTTGTTACACGAGTGGAGGTCTCGGGGCACCCTCGACCTCCACTCGTGTCATAAAAGTCATCGTAAACAAATTGGGATGCCTTTATTTCCATGTTACTTACGATATTTTCTATTCCTAATGCACTAAAAAAAGTTTTTCTGAAAATCTTTCGTAAGAATTCAATTCTTTTCATGAATTTATAATAAAAATTCCTCAGGAAGTAAATTATTTAAATTAGAATTTGCATATAAAAATAAGTCGAAAGAAATCAATTATTTTAAACATTTTTATAAAGTTCTTCGCAAGAATTAAATTATTTTTATAAATATTTAAATTCTTGCGAAGACAAAAGTTTATTTGAAACAACAAAATTTTGGTTGAATGAACCAAAGAAATGCATTACTACCGTTTTTTTAATTCAACCAAATTTTTTAATTGAATGTTTTTATTTGAATAAACCAAAATAATGCGTTATTGCATTCAACTAAATTTTTTGCTTTCTTTAACCAAATATTTTACTCTCTAGTGTTACGTCGAACTAACTCAAATATTAAATTCCCCAGTGTTTCCCGATTTAATTTTAATTAGTGATAATCATGATTATCACTAATTAAAATTGCAAAATTGGGACGGGGTTTGGTAAATGATCAAGAAGTAATTCTATTTGAAATTATTTTTAAAAGTAATAAACTTTTACTTTTTTATAAAGTATAAATAAATAAATAAATAATTATAAATACTTTTTTATAATAATAAATTGTCGTCCAAGTACAATAAGGTTTGTTCCTCTAATGGTCCTTTTCACAGAGAAATGACACCTTATAATATATAAGTGGTTGCAAGTTGACTACTACAGGGTTGCCACAGGTCAGGGAAAAGTCAGGGATTTTTAGTAAAAGTACTGGAAAAATAAATTGAATTTTTGAAAATTCATGAGAAAACTCTGAATTTTGATGTTTTTTTGTTTGCCTCGTAAACTATGAAATTACCACGAATTTTAATACAAAACCTTCAATTTTTTCTATTTCTGACAATAATTTCTTTTTAAATAAAATTTTTCAAAAAGTATCATAAAATTATGACTTATAAATTATTTAATAAATAACTTTTACAATTTTCATAAATACTAGATTGATAGAAGAATTTTAGTTAAAAATACTAGAAAAAATTAAATTTTCGAAAAGTTACAAATCATTCCAGAAATTGAAATTATTTTCAAAAATTATAAAAATTCTTCGCAGAATTTCAATTATGTTCAAAAATTGAAAAAAAAATTCTCGTCAAAATTTCAATTATCTTTATAAATAATAAAATTCTTCATCGAAATTCAATTATTTTTATAACTTTTAATGTAATTCTTGGCAAAATTTCACAGGAATTCAATTATTTACAAAATTTTTATCAATTTTCTTCGAAAAAATTCAATTATTTTCATAAGCAATAAAATTTTCACAGGAATTCAATTATTTAAAATACAAAATTTCATAAAATTTTTCGAAAAATATCAATTATTTAAAAAGATTATTATTATTATTATTATTATTATTATTATTTTTTATTATTATTATTTTTTATTATTATTTAGATTTTTATTTTTTTAAATTGAACAAACTTCTTTTCAAGAATTTAATTATTTTTATAAATAATAAAATTCTTCACCGAAATTCAATAATTTTTATAAACTTGAATATAAAATTCTAGAAAGAATAAAATTATTTTTAAAAGTAATAAAATTCTCAGCAGAAATTAAACTATGTTTAAAAATTAAAAAAAAAAAAATTTTGTCAAAATTTCAAATATCTTTGTAAATAATAAAATTCTTCATCAAAATTCAATTATTTTTATAACTTTTAATAAAATTCTTGGCAACATTTCACAGGAATTCAATTATTTACAAAATTTTTAATAAATTTTTTCGAAAAAATTCAATTATTTTCATAAATAATACATTTTTCATATAGGAATTCAATTATTAAAAATAAAAAATTTCAGAAAATTTTTAAAAAAGATTTTTATAAAATTCGTCACAAGAATTCAATTATTTTAAAAAATTTAACACAATTCTTTTCAAGAATTCAATTATTTTTGTAAATAATAAAATTGTTCGCAGAAATTCAATTATGATAAAGAAAAAAATTCTTGTCAAAAAAATTCTTTTCCGAAATTCAATTATTTTAGAAAACTTTTAATAAAATTGTTGGAATAATTTTAATTAATTTTATGAATAATAAAACTCATCGCAGTATTTTAATTATTTTTGATACAATATTTTAATCGAATTTCTCGAAAAATGTAATTATTCTTAAAAATTTTATTAAAATTTGTTTTGACAAATTTTAATAAAACATTCAATTATTTAATAAATTATTGATTTTTTAATTTTAATAATTGAATTCTTCTAGAATTTTCTAATAAAAATTGATTTAAAAATGAATTACCGAATAATCGATTTATTACTTATGAAAATAATTGAATTATTGCAACGAATTTTATTACATTTTCTTTAAATAATTGAATTTTTTTGAGAAATTTTACTACTTGTAAAAATAATTAATTTTTTGCGAAGGATTTTATTAGGATTTTTGTAAATAATTAATTTTTTTTTTTGAAAAGTTTTATGGCAATTGAAATTATTATAAAACATGAAGAAGGTACTTCTTCATGTTTTGTAATAATTTTCTTATAAGTTGTTGAATTTCATAAAGGTTTGAATTTGAATGTTTCGAAAAATTTGAATTCCTACAGAAGAATAATAATGATTAAATATTTATTTCAAAAAGAAATTATTGATTTTTTTTTTGAATAATTTGACAATTAAAGAAATTTGTAAATAAATGTAATGGAACATTTTTTTGAGTAATAATTTTTAGAGTGAATCAGAATATTCTTTAGGGCCAGGGAAAAAGTGGAAATTTTTTCTGGAAATCAGAGAAAAGTAAAATTAAATATTTGTGGCAACTCTGTACTAGTTATTTTTTATATAATATTTCACTTAAATCATTAACTTGTTATTACAATTTTGTTATTGTTTGTTAATATTTTGTTATTACAAATTTGTTATTTATTATTATAATTTGTTATGTTATTTGTTATTTATTTATTATTATTTTTTTATTTTTTTATCGCAACAAATGAAATAGTTTAATTAAACAGTTTAGTTGAGTGAAATAAACTTTTTCTCCGAGTGATTTCATGAATAATAAAATTCGCTGCAGGAATTCAATTTATTGTCAGGATAAGAAAGAAGTAAATTTTTTTGATGGAAATTAGGAAAAAGTCAGGAAAATAAAATGTAGAATGGAATTTTTGTCGTTAGCAAAGTTTCGAACAAGATCATGGAACTCGAATGAAAAATTGAAAAATAAAAATTTGGTATGGAACGTTGTCAACTCAGCTCTATGAAAGCTGTAATAACAACATATTGATATTGTTCTTATATTTAATGAAATTGGAAAATTTTCCAATTAATAAAAATTGGAAAAATTAGAGAGATTAATTAAATATAGCAAAATGTAGTTTAATAAATTGGTCTTACCATTTTCAATATTTATTTCTGAACAGAGAAATCGAATAGCACTTGTTGTCTTGTTTACAGTCTACACTGACTTTAACTTGAATGTTATCGAATTACCCGAACTTTTTCAAGTAAAACAAATAAAGTATCTTGACTTAAAATTTTACAACGGCTGCCTCAGAGTGTTCTAATCTGTCAAGAACGCCTTATTCGACTTGTCGAATTGTTAAAGACAAAAATCAGAACTCTTTCAGGAGACAAACTTGGTTATAGCAATGGACCCGAAGAAGTGACACAATCAGGCGTGGTCCAGTGGTTTTTATAGATAGCTTCTACTATATATATATGCATATTGGGACTAGGGGGGGTATAACTACATTTCATTGGTTAACATTTTTGCGCACGCGTTCTGTTACAAATAAGTGGGGGTATTATCTGAAAGCTCGCATAGCAGATGAGATCATCACTCAATAATAGAATCAATATAAGATGTATATAAAAAAGATTATTTAAATTAAAAAATTAATTAATTTAATTAATTAATTAATTTTTTTAAAAATTATTTTGCTTTTGCACCTCAAATTTTTTTTAAACATTCAGACTGACGACTTATTTGATACTGAATTTGCGGTTCCAATTTCTGTCCCTTATATACTGAGAAATGTCCATGAAACAACGTATATCATATATAGGGTAGTAAAGAGATGACTCATCTCATTAGTTTTATAGTTCCTCGAATTTGCTTGTTTACGCAGGAATGGTATTTGGTCACATACGTGGCACGTGAAATTATATAATGAAAATTCTTCAGAAATTTGATATTTGATTATTTATTTATATTTTTCAAAAATTTAATCATTTTAAAAAGATTTTAATTTTTTTGAAGCTAAAAGTCGATCCTAAGGCGAGTTTTTTAACCTTCGGATTTTAACGTTTGGAAAAAATAATTTTTTTTGCTGAATTCTATGAACTTTTGTCGGCTAACTCGGGAGACAATTACAATGTTTTATCTAAAAGAAAGGAGAAAATTGATAGGACTAAATTCTATTTATCTAACTTTAATATTAATAAATGGTATATATACACGGAATAGATCCTATAATTATAATGATATGCGTATTGACGATCCACTAAATGGATTTTGTCATTCTAGGAAATACGAGGTAGAAAGAAACTAATTATAGTAAAAGGTTATAAAATTACTTTTTTTATTTATCAATAACGTTCGTTTCACTTTATTTTAACCCTTTCACGCCCATATGGGACGTCTCACCTACAAAAATCTCAATATTTTGGAAGAAAATTAATATTTTTGAGTCAAATTTAGTGCATTTTCTTCAGGAAGAAGAGGGCTTTAAAAATGTGTAACCTAGATCATGTTAAAAAATTCCTATTGTTTTAAAAAATACATAAATTATTGTTAAAAAATTACGAAATTTTTTAACATTTTAAAATTGTCACTCGGGGATTTTTGGGGTCGCTGGTTACTAATATGACATCAGTTTCCAAAAATTCAAAATGGATCCAATATGGCGGACGATTTTTTAAAAATTGTTTAGTTTTACCTGAAACTTGTCACTCGGGGGGTTTTTTTTTAGGATCGCTGATGACGAATCTGATGTTAGTTTTTTAAAATTTTACAAAAACCAACAGTTATAAATTTATATTTCTTAGAAGAAAAAATTTAAGTAGGTCGGGACATATGAAAAACAAAAAAAAATTGTAGAATTTTGAAAAAAAGTGTGGGTAAAGACTTCCAAAAACAGTTTTTTTTTGGTACTCTCTAATTTTTAAAAATTTCTGACATGATAGACAATTTGGATATACGCACATAAAGAATTGGTTCCAATGCGCAGGTTTCTCGTAGGCCTCGCCCCTGTTAGGATGAGATTATAATTATTCCAGTTGAGTGGGGAAATTCAAGATGGATTCTTACTGGTGCGGTGAATAAACATTGTACACAAAGTGTATGAAACAAAAATCTAATTTTTTAAATATCTTCGCTTTAATGAAATTTCCAAACTTAAGTTTATTAGGATTTTATTTTCTATTTTTTAAGAACTATTTAAATGCAATGATAAAATTTATAAATAACAGACCTCGGATATTATGACTTTTTCGATTTTTTTCGACTATTTTTAAAAAATGCGACGTTTTTCGACTTATTTTCGAAAATTACGACTTTTTCGACTTTATTTTTTTTTCAATAATTTTTCTAATTAAATTTTCAAAATTTACAATTAAAAAGAATTTCAATAATTGAAATTTTGCAAAATTTAATTGAAAATAATTGATTTTTTTCAAAGTGTTTTATAAAATTTTTTGGAGATCAACTTTTGAAGAATTTTAATTGCAAATTTTGAAAATAATTGATTTCTCAAAAATTGTAATGAAAAATCTTCAAGTGTAAATATTTAAAAATGGTAATTAAAAAAAAATTAGCTTCTAAAAATTATATTAAAATATTTTTGAAAAAAATTATACTTTGAATTTTTTAATTCTAATTTTTTAAAACTCAATTATTTTCAATATTTTCAAAAACAAACTAGAAATTCTAATACATATACAAAAAATAGCATTAGAATTTTTTACAATTATTTTTAACATTTTAACAACATAACAATCATGTTGAAAATTTTTAATCAAAATTCTCTTCAAAAAAATTTTTTTTGTAAATCATTCAAAAATTTTTCTAAGAAATTCAATTCTTTTCGAAAAAATTAAATTACAATATTAAAAAAAATTTTTGTTGTAATTTTTTTATCTTAACTTTTTAAGATTCAATTAACTTCGAACAAAGTAAATTAAAATTTTAAAAAATTTCCTTTTTTAGATTTGTTAAAATTTTAGAGAAATCACGTTTATTATATTAATAATTAAAATTCTTCAAAAATTCAATTATTTTTTTAATAAAATTTACCAAATTTCAATTGTTTGGAAATTTTTCTATCATATAATAATTGAAAAACTGTTATCTTTGATAAATTATGTTTAAAATATTTTTAAAAAAATTAATTTTAAGAAGTTCTGTATTATAATTTTTTGAAAATTAATTAATAACTTAAAAAACATGGACAGTTACAATTATTATAAAAAACTGAATTTTTGTATTTAAATAATTGAATAATATAATTAATATAATTTTAAGAGAATTATACAGTCGTAATTTTTAGAAGTTATTAAACTTCAGAAGGTTTTATAAATAGAAATTTTTTAAATTTTATTTGCGTATAAAAACAAGCAAGAAGTATTTAAATATTTATTTAACGAAATTATTCAAGTTTTGAATAATAATAATAATAATAATAATAATAATAATAATAAGATAAGACCTATTTGATCTTCTAGTTAATTATAGTTTTCGTAGAATATTGCACGGTTAAGATTAAAATAACTCTCTCATGAAAAATATACCGAAAATATTGGTAAAAATTTCTTAGATAAGAATCTAATAAACAGTGATTTATGATATATCAAATTAAACATAAAAATAATAGCTCAGATGAAAATAATAATTCCAAGAATTAAATACCTATAAAACTTGCAAGAAGTCTTCAGATAAATCTTATTAGTCAAAACAATAAAAATAAATTAATTAGATAAAAATGACCGGAAGCAATAAATTTTAAGTCAAAGACAAATATAAACGCGTTGCAAAAATTCTTTAGATAAATCGTATAGGCAAAACAATGAAAATAAATTTTTAAAAAATGACCGAAATCAATTCAATGATTTTTAATATATCGATACTATTTTAATAAAATTTTCCAAAAAGTTTTGGAGTGGGCCGACGCGTTTAATATTTTTTTCTATAAATATAGTTTATGTAACGAATCTAAATTTATTTCGTATTTTATTTTGTTAGAAACTGAACAAAATTTTAAAAAATATGTATAAATTTTACATTTATTTGCGAGTATTAAAAAATATGTCAATATCAATTGTTATAACAATTCGTAAAATTTTAATTATACTCTCCATCCAATGAATTAATCGACTATATATTTCGAAATCACACTATACACATACACATTCTTACACATAGATACAAATATTTATAAAAAAAAAAAAATTATACTGCGATATGTTTAATAATAAAGATTCAAAATATTGTGATCAGAGAGAACATTAGTTAATCGGTTGCGTGACTCACCGTCGTCATACAATGTTCGTCGTAAGTTACCACGTTTTTTTTGTTGTATATTATTCTTGGTGCCGGCGCTGTCCAGAGACCTCAAGGCCGTATGTCAGAAAGTATCCGGATCACTCCAAATTGTCAATTTAATCTCTTCAGATTTTGAGTTGTTAATTAATTGAAATCCTTTTTGTGTATAGGCCTAATCCACAACGGATGCAGGTCGGTCTCGGGAAAATATATTGAAAGCGCGAATCGCCAAAAGTGTGCGTCGAGCAATTCTCTATGTGCAGAAACTAATTATGTACCAACCGCTATAATAATTCAATTAATAACACATTAAAAAAATGAAAATTCTTTTTTACAAATTCTTTGAAAAATATTATATTTACCCCAATCGGGCGTAGAGCAAAATTTGACGTCGACTCACAACAAGCGATTGCAAGCGATCAACACGCTTGCAATTTTCTCCAACTTACGGAGCCAAGGTCTCTCTGATCACTAACTTTACGAAAAATTTTTTTTCGCTGTTATGTCTCCGCACCACAATTCGCCCCACTCTCTCCCCTTACTCTCATACCTCACTCTCATACCTCACACATCATTCATACGTGATACCTTTCTACAAGTTTAAGCTTTTGCCTACTATCTCGGGATACAATTATAATAATTTCTCCCCCAGAAAAAAATAATGAAAAGGAAGAGTGGGTTTTGAAGAATAAGGAGAAAATCTTTTTTATCCAACTTAAAATTGACAATTAAAATTCGGAAAAAGGTCGCACAAATTATTATTTAAGGAATTTCGGTCCAACTATTAATGGACTTTGAAATTCTAGAGGATAATTGGATAGCGTAGAGAAAAGAAAATAATAAAATTATAAACTTATACGTTATATTTGGTTAAATTTTTTTGTAGAACTCTCTTTTAATCTTACAGGGTTACCACAGGTCAGGAAAAAGTCAGGGAAAGTAAAATTGGTCAGAGAAATCAGGGAAAAGTTAGGGATTTTTAGTAAAAGTACTGGAAAAATAAATTGAATTTTTGAAAATTCATGAGAAAACTCTGAATTTTGATGTTTTTTTGTTTGCCTCGTAAACTATGAAATTACCACAAATTTTAATACAAAACCTTTAATTTTTTCTATTTCTGACAATAATTTCTTCATTAATAATATTAATAATATTAATAATATTAACAATAATAATAATAATTAATAATAATAATAATTATTATTAATATTAATAATATTAATAATTTCATAATTACTTCATTTTTCAAAAAGTATCATAAAATTATGACTTATAAATTATTTAATGAATAACTTTTACAATTTTCATACATACTAGATTGATAGAAGAATTTTAGTTAAAAATATTTTAAAAAATTAAATTTTCGAAAAGTTACAAATCATTCCAGAAATTCCAATTATTTTCAAAAATTATAAAAATTCTTCGCAGAATTTCAATTATGTTCAAAAATTGAAAAAAAAATTCTCGTCAAAATTTCAAATATCTTTATAATTATAATAAAATTCTTCATCGAAATTCAATTATTTTTATAACTTTTAATAAAATTCTTGGCAAAATTTCACAGGAATTCAATTACTTACAAAATTTTTAATAAATTTCTTCGAAAAAATTCAATTATTTTCATAAGCAATAAAATTTTCACGCAGGAATTCAATTATTTAAAATACAAAATTTCATAAAATTTTTCGAAAAATATCAATTATTTAAAAAGATTTTTAAAAAATTCATCGCAAGAATTCAATTATTTAAAAAAAAATTGAACAAACTTCTTTTCAAGAATTCAATTATTTTTATAAATAATAAAATTCTTCACTAAAATTCAACAATTTTTATAAACTTGAATAAAATTCTAGAAAGAATAAAATTATTTTCAAAATTAATAAAATTCTTCGCAGAAATTAAATTATGTTTAAAATTTTTTTTAAAATTTCAATATCTTTATAATTATAATAAAATTCTTCATCAAAATTCAATTATTTTTATAACTTTTCATAAAATTCTTGGCAAAATTTCACAGAAATTCAATTATTTACAAAATTTTTAATAAATTTCTTCGAAATAATTCAATTATTTTCATAAATAATGAATTTTTCATAGAAATTCAATTATTTAAAATAAAAAGTTTCATAAAATTTTTAAAAAAGATTTTTATAAAATTCGTCGCAAGAATTGAATTATTTAAAAAAAAGTTGAACAAACTTCTTTTCAAGAATTCAATTATTTTTATAAATAATAAAATTCTTCACCGAAATTCAATAATTTTTATAAACTTGAATAAAATTCTAGAAAGAATAAAATTATTTTCAAAAGTAATAAAATTCTCAGCAGAAATGAAACTATGTTTAAAAATTAAAAAAAAAAAATTTGTCAAAATTTCAAATATCTTTATAAACAATAAAATTCTTCATCAAAATTCAATTATTTTTATAACTTTTAATAAAATTCTTGGCAACATTTCACAGGAATTCAATTATTTACAAAATTTTTAATAAATTTCTTCGAAAAAATTCAATTATTTTCATAATACATTTTTCATATAGGAATTCAATTATTAAAAATAAAAAATTTCATAAAATTTTTAAAAAAGATTTTTATAAAATTCGTCACAAGAATTCAATTATTTAAAAAAATTTAACACAATTCTTTTTAAGAATTCAATTATTTTTATAAATAATATAATTGTTCGCAGAAATTCAATTATATGATAAAGAAAAAAATTCTTGTCAAAATTTCAAGTATTTTTAAAAAATAATAAAATTTTTTTTCGAAATCCAATTATTTTAGAAAAATTTTTAAAAATTGTTGGGATAATTTTAATTCATTTCATGAATAATAAAATTCATCGCAGGATTTTAATTATTTTTGATACAATATTTTAATCGAATTTCTCGAAAAATGAAATTATTCTTAAAAATTTTATTAAAATTTGTTTTGACAAATTTTAATAAAACATTCAATTATTTAATAAATTATTGATTTTTTAATTTCAATAATTGAATTCTTCAAGAATTTTCTAATAAAAATTGATTTAAAAATGAATTACCGAATAATCGATTTATTATTTATGAAAATAATTGAATTATTGCAACGAATTTTATTACATTTTTTTTTAAATAATTGAATTTTTTTGAGAAATTTTACTAGTTGTAAAAATAATTAAATTTTTGCGAAGGATTTTATTAGGATTTTTGTAAATAATTAATTTTTTTTGAAAAATTTTATGGTAATTTAAATTATTATAAAACATGAAGAAGGTACTTCTTCATGTTTTGTAATAATTTTCTTATAAGTTGTTGAATTTCATAAAGGTTTAAATTTGAATGTTTTGAAAAATTTTAATTCCTACAGAAGAATAATAATGATAAATATTTATTTAAAAAAGAAGTTATTGATTTCTTTATTGAATAATTTGACAATTAAAGAAATTTGTAAATAAATGTAATAGAACATTTTTTTGAGTATCTAATAATTTTTAGAGTGAATCAGAATATTCTTTAGGGTCAGGGAAAAGTGGAAATTTTTTCTGGAAATCAGGGAAAAATAAAATTAAATATTTGTGGCAACCCTGTCTTAATTTAATAAAATTATAAATTTACGTTTTATTTGGTTAAATTTTTCTGTAGAACTCCATTAATTATGGAGATTAGAGTTTAGAGCGCGCATTCCCCACTATACGTCCCTCTCTTTCTATTTATCCCCATTTCTGACTCACTCGCGCCATAAATTTCTTTCCACTTGTCAGATTCATAATTTTCCTCAAAATAATTGTCAGATTGTTAGGCTATAATGATTTTGGTACGTTTTTTGTTTTTAAGGTACTATTATAATTTGTAAACAGTCAAAAATGACTTTTAACAAATAATTTTATTTTCGGTTATATTTTTATTTAAACATGTTTTTTGCATTATTTATTTGAATATGTAGAATTAAAAAATTTTCTAATTTAAATTTTCGTTGAGTACACTAAAAAAAATTCAATTTTGAAGAAATTACAAATAATTGCAGAAATTTAATTATTTTCAAAACGAAATAAAATTCTTTTTTTTAAATTTAACTAATGTTCAAAATTTTAAAAAAATTCTCGTAAAAATCCCAATTATCTTTATAAATAAAAAAATTCTTCTCTAAAGTTCAATTATTTTTCATAAATGTCAAAAAAAATTCTTGTCCTAATTTCAATTATTTTCAAATTTTTTCTAATTCCAATGACTTTCAGTACACGGAAAGAAAAAGTCCGTCAACCATTAATGGATTAGTATATTACTTTGAGACGGGACACTTTTTCCGTTGATGGTTACTTAACTTTACTTAACGATTGAAAACGAGTCATGGATTGATTAGAATGCCAGTATGTGACCAATTGTTTTAGATTTAATGCTGAATTGTTATCAATGGCTGTTTGAATGTTTACGAATCATTAGTGAAAGTTTGTGAAACGTTAGTTGACTCGTATTCTAAATCGGCGCTCTTCACTAGCGCATTGTTGCGCAGTGTACCGATGCGCATTTCTTCCGGTTTCTCTATAGTCCATGTGTTTTTGCTGTCTGCTATACATATCCCTATATACTATTATGTGTAATGTGAATATTTAACTTAACTAACAATTTGCAGTTGAATTGCGTCTAGAAATTGACCTCGATGAAAATATATTTTCTTTTATATTTCTCGCTAATTAAAAAGTAGTTATTAGTGCAAAATCATTTCTCACAAGTTGTGAAAAATTTTGTTATTTGGTATATAAGAATAGTTCGCTTCTAAACTTAAAGTGTTATAAGTGTGCGTTTCTACGTGTAGTTATTATAAGTGCGAAAATGTGTTGGTCTAAAGCGTCTAAGAGTGTAAATAAAATATCGGAACTGTGCAACGAAAAAAATGTGTTCATTCTGTACCAAATAGTGTCTAAAATTAGGGATAATTCTGAAAGAAGTTGAATTTTTTGAATGCTTTTGATAGTCATAGAAAATTTAATAGACAGTTTTCTAAATTTTAGTGAACGAGTTTTATATATTGATGACAGTTTTCTAAATTTTAGCAAGCAACTCGTCACTGATTGTGACTCAAAGTATGTTATCCATTCAATGATTTTGTGTCCCGTCTCAAAGTAATATACTAGTCTATTAATGATTGACGGACTTTTTCTTTCCGTGTATCTATTATTTTAATAAAATTTCCTAAAAAGAATTCAATTATTTAAAAAAATTTTAATAAAATATTATGCAATAATATTTTATGCATAAAATATTATGAAAGAATCTTTCATAAAAAATAATTTAAAATTCTAAAAAATAATAATTGAATTAAAATGATGAAAACAATTTCAATGAAGTTACAGTAACAATATTTTTATAACATAAAATAATGATTTTATTTCTCGGTCATCTTTAATTATTAGAAAACATGAAGAATCGGATCACTCCGAGTCTTCGACTCGGAGCAATCGATATCTTCATGTTTTTATAACAATAATACTTTTATAATTTGTTTAATTTAAAAAATGTTTGAATTTGAAATTTTTTAATGTCTTAATTCCTGTGGAAAATCC